TGAAAGAAACTATCTAGTGCAGCTAATTCATATTAACAGATGAGGAAACTGAGACCCAGAAAGGGGAAATGACTTGCCTTAGGTCATATATTTTAATATCTTTGGAAACTGTATTTCTTCTGAAATAAGCATCTAAAAAAATTGATAAAATGTGCTTCATGGAGAAGTCTCCTCCATGCCCTGCCATCCAACTATTCTCTCCTCACCCCTTCCCTTTTCCCCCCAGCAATTAACCTATATCTCTCTTTCCCTTCTGTGGGGAACTTGAAATAGCAGTCTATAATAGGTGCCTCCACTTCATCTCCTTTCACTTTCTTCTAAACCCTCTGCAATCTGAATTTTGACCTCATCTTTCAACAATTCTCTCCAATGTTACCAATGATCCCTTAATTGCCAAATCCAATGGCCTTTTCTCAGTCCTAATCCTTCTTGACTTCTCTGTGGGCTTTGACATAGTTGATCACCCTCTTCAAAATGCTCGCTTCTCTCTAGGTTTTCCTGACACGCTTGGGTCTTCTGCTACCTGATTGCTCCTTCTTTGGATCTACCTAGAAGTCATGCTCAATAACTGTTGGTGACCTCCAAGGGTCTGTCCTGGGCTTTCTTCTCCTCTCTATATATTATTTCCCTTAATAGTCTCATCAGTTCCTATGGGTTCAATTATCATCCCTAAGCAGATGATCCTCAGAACTCTTTATCTAGCCCCCACTTTTCTCTTAAGCTCCAGTCTCCACATGCCTCTTGAACATCTTGACCTGGATCTCCTTGTAGATTTTTGAAATTCAATATATCCAAAACAACTTGTTTTCTTTCCCCCAAACTCTCTCTTCATTGTCAAGGGCATCACCATGCCCCCAGTCACCTAGGCTCACAACCCCTGCGTCATGCCTTTTCATATACACTCCACATATCAAATCCATGGTAACGCCTTATCATTTCCGCCTTTACAGCATCTCTCCTATAAGCCCCCTTCTCTGTATTTCTACAGCCACCATTCTGGTACAAATCTCACACCTAGCCTATTGAAATAGCCTTCCAGGTGAATTTCAGAAAAACCTGGAAAAACTTACAGGAACCGATGCTGAGTGAATTTAGCAGAGCTAAGAGAACATTGAACATAGTAACAGCAACATTGTTCAATGACCAACTTTGATGGGCTTGGCTCTTCTCACCAATACATAGATCTAAGACAATTCCAAAACACTCATGATGGAAGATGCCATCCACATCCAGAGAGAGAACTATGGAATCTGAATGCAGATCGAAGCATACTATTTTCTCTTTGTTTTTTTCTTCTTGTGGTTTTTCCCTTTTGTTCTGATACTTCTTTCACAACAGAACTAATGTGGAAATATGTTTGGTATGATTGTATATGTATAGCCTATATCAGATTGCTTGCCATCGTGGGGAGGAGAGAGGAAAGGGAAAAAAATTTTGGAACTCAAAATCTCATAGAGGTGAATATTGAAAATTATCTTTGCATGTAATTGGAAAAAATAAAATACTATTAAGGGGGGGAAAAAAAGAAATAGCCTGCTCATTGGTCTTCTTGCCTTAACTTTTTCCCCACTCTACTCCATCCTCCACTCAACTGCCTAAAGTGCAGGTCTAACCATGCCACCCCCTTACTCAATAAAATTCCATGTTCCTCATAGCCTGGCCCCCTGGCTACCTTTCCAACCTCCTTATACTTGACTCTCTTGCACATATTCTGTGATCTTGCTACATTGGCCTGCTTGCACATTGCACATTGGCCTCACCTACAACACTCCATCTCTTGACTTCATGCATTTTCATTGGCTGTCCTCCACAACTGGAACGCTTTCCCCCCTCAACTTTCATTTACATTGTATATATTAATTTATACATGATTGTTTGCACTGTTGTCCCTCTCCTTAAATCCTGAGCTCCTTGAAAGCAAGTTTTGCCTTTCTTCGAATCTCCGGTGCTTAACACAGTACTTGGTATATAGTGTGACTAATAAATCCCTATTGATCATTGACTGACAGTATGCAAAAGCAGACCACATTTCAGGATGGTGGCTAATGGTTTTGTAGGGAAGAAACTTCCAGATAAAAATTTCCGACAGTGGCCATCAAAAGGATTACCAACAAAATGAAGAATGTGGAAGTTATGAGATTAGAGAGTGTATAGGGGTCAGTCTGGCATCAGATTTAACAGAAGGCAAGGATGATATAGGAAAAAGTCAGTAAGTCAATGAAGTCAAAGTGCATTTCTTAAGTGCTTACTAAGAACCAAACACTGTGCTAAGCACTATAGATACAAAGAAAGGCAAAAACAGTCCCTGCCCTCAGAGAGCTCACAATCTAATAAAGAGACATTAATGTAAGCAACTATATGCATATAAGACATATATCATATAAATGGAAGGTAATCTCAGAAAGAAGGCATTAGAAGAGGGAAAGGGAACTGGAAGAGGTATCTTAGAAAAGGTGGTATTTGAGCTGAATTTTGAAAAAGGCCAGGTCAGCCAGGAGGCAGATGTGAAAAGGGAGATCATTACAGGTATGTGTGTGACAACCAGTGAAAATGCATGAAATCAGATAGGCTGTAGGCAAACAGGCACACTAATGCATTGTTGGTGGAGCTGTGAATTAGTCTAGCCATTCTAAAACCATGCTCCAAAAGTCACTACACTGTGCGTACCTCTGACCCAGCTATACCACTACTAGGCCTATAATCCAAAGGAAGAAAAGGACTGTTAAGTACAAAAAACACAGCAGCCTAAAACCGGAAATCAAGGGTATAAGGATATCTGCAGCCTCTCCATTCTGCTAATGGAAGAAACCCAAGGGTAACTCAAATCCCCAGTCACCTCATCCAAGTCAGGTCTGTAGTAATCGTAGCAAAATTTCTTTTTTTATTTGAATATCAACTGGTCTACCAGTTCCCCAAGAGTTCCCCCTATCATGAATCAGCACTAGTCCTCAGGTCCAAACTCTCTCCCTTCCCACCCCCAATGCCTGGTTCTGCTTGACCCAAATAAGACTCCTACAAAAATCCACCTCACTTCTCCAGTCGTAAGTGCCTCATTCCATACAGAACTTCAACATATTATTCTCTGTCTATCCTCCCTGACCTCCCCTTCCTCTTGTGAGTCGTTCTGCTTAATAAAGCTTGCTTCCTTCACTTTCTCCCTTCCATCATGTGATGCTCCAGACCAGTTTTCTCCTTAGAAGCAATAGTCATTGCCTAGGCTAAGGATTAATGGTCCTCCAGCAAGCTGCTACTATCTCTAAGCCTCTCTAGGCTTAGAGAACAGATGGAAAGAGTTGGATCCGAAACTTCGTGCCCCATGGTAGAGCCTCCCTCCTTCTTCCCATGTGCCAAGACCATGACTAGGACTCCCAAACCCTGTGACATACCCCAACCCTTTTGACTGAGATATATATTTTTGGACAAGATCATAGTGGGAATTTATTTTGCTGGACTGTATGTTCGATATGACTGTTTTTTTCTTTAATTTGCCATTCAATGGGAGGGGAGACAATGTGAAGGAAAGATAATAAATGCTTATAAAAATTAATTTTAAGCTGGAATACTGTACGCAAGGAAGAGCAAGGAGACAAATGGAGGGTGGAAGGGAGTAAGCTATAAGAGGCCAGGTTGTGAAGGTTTTAAATGCCAAAGTATTTTGTATTTCATTCTAGCGCCAACATGTAGCTACTTCGGTTTAGGAGAGCGGTGGGGATTGGAGAGGGTGATAATATGGTCAAAGCTCCACTTTAGAAAGATCATTTTGGCAGCTAGGTGGAGGAGAGTTTGAAGTTGGATGAGACTTGAAGCAAGGAGACCAATCAGCTGGCAGTTTCAATAGGCCGGGTTAAGGTTATGAGGGCCCACACTAGAAGAACTAGGTTTGAGACTCAGCTCGGCTACTTGTGTAAGTTAAGGTTAAGTCCCTTTATCAGTCTGGACCTCGCTTTTCTCTTCTGTAAAATGAGGGACTAAATGACCTCTAAACTCCTTTCCAACATTCTGTAATCCTAGGTCAATCTGGAGGTCAAGATTAAGCATCACGCTGCAGCTAGACTAGAGTTAGTGGGCAGTCTAGAGTCAGGTATAGAAGGCAGTTTCCATTTGGGGGATGGACATTGATCTGGGGCCAGGATTGAGGAGGGGTTTCTGTCTGGAGTCAGGGTTAGGGATCAGTGTGGGGTTGTGGGAACAGAGTTTTTCTATGTGTGGTACTAACTGTCCAGAACAAAACAACAGTGGCTTAGAAGGTGAAATCTGAAGCTGAATGGAGACAGGCTCCTCAGGGATGAGCTGCTAATTATCCTCCTAGGAGCTTCCGGGAGTCTAGCAAAGATTTCATCCTACTTGGCACCTTTTTGCCAGATTCTCACATATTCTCCCAGGCTTGCTGCCTGCCCTCTCAGAACACAGCACGTCTGACCCTCCAGCCCTCACCCCACCCTTTCCCAGGCCAACATCCTCCCTAAACCCAGGTGTCCTGAGCCAGAGAAACAGCTCCTTTCCAGAAACCCAGGTGTCCTGTTCCCTACCTCACCGCATACAAATAAGCTCCTGAAAGCATCTTTGTTTCTTTAGCCTCAGAGAGTACCACCCCAGGCCTACCTCCAGCCCCTTTAATTACTCCTCTAGCCCCCAGCCTCCTCCCCTCTGGAACATTTTAAACTCTTCCCCCACTAGCACCACCCCCTTCAATGTTTTCCATAAAGTCGCTGAGAAGAGCCCAGACCAATGGGTAAGAAGGGGGAGATACTGCATTCCTGGGTCCCAGAAAAGCTGTAAGGACTAAAGAATCCAGACCCCTGGGTTCTGGGAGACAATAGCAGATAGGGTGCAGAGCTGGGACTCTCAAATACACAAGGTGAAAAGGAATGGGGGTTATTGACCAAAGTGTGGGGGCCAAGGCTTCTGAGTTCACTCAACCTTCTCCTCCACACCTATTTAGGGTTGTCTTTCCTATCTCCTTGGCTCTGTCCCTTTCCCTTGGGACCCAGTGAGAAAGAATGGGGGAGTATTCATGCCGACAGGGCCCTCTGCTGCTACTGCTATTGCTGGGTAAGTGAGGAGGGAGGTAAACAGGACTGGCAGTGACTGACTACAGGTGGGAAAGGGAACAGATATTGAGCAACACTGATTCTTAGCACACTGAACTATTTCTCTCCCCTCCCAGAATTTCTGCTCTGCCTTTCCACCTTCAGCTTTCTTCCTCTCTGGCTTATTCATCCCCACTGCTCTGAAATCTCTGCATCCCTAAAGGTTAGAGGAGGTTTCTCTTCTGAGACCCTCTTCTCTGGAGGTTTGCCTGAAACCTAGACATATAAGAAGTTCCTGGCTCCCCAGTCTAGACTCCAGGCATTTTCCTTTCTATCTTCCCATTACCACAACCTGATTATTGAGGCCCAGGCCCCAAGTACCACAGATAAACATTGCATTCCATGTTTTCTTACTCATTTTCTCTGTTATTCATATTGTCACCCCCTCCCCATTCTAGAATTATATTCCCCTTTTCTGTTTCAACTCTACAAGATACAAGAGAATTAACATAATCACTCCCCTTATCCCCTCCAAGTCCAGTTGTCAGATTCCTCCTGTCTCTAAGCCTTTCTCTGTTATCTCCCTTCCTCTATATTATTTTACACCCACAACCAGATTATCCAGCCCCATCTCTTTATTTTTTCTGTGGAGCATCTGTGGTGCTATAGAAACCTCAGTGTGAATCCTGCCTCTGACACCTAATAACCGTGTGAACTTGGACAAATCCCTTACTTTGGACATTTATAGGACTTAAGGCTAGAAAGAACCTTGGAGATCATGGTCCAATACCCTTATTTTACAAAGAAGGAAACTGAGGCCCAGGGAGTGAAAAAAATTTGCCCAAGCTTACATGAGCAATAAGTAGCTGAGCTAGGATTCCTAACTGGATATACCACTCTTAAATCCCGTGGTCATTCCATTACATAACACTGCCTCTCTTAGATCCCAGTTTCCCATCTGCAAAATGGAGAGAATAATGCCTACCTCCTTCACAAAGTTTTATGAGGATAAACTACAGAACTATATAAAAGTCAGTTATAATTATTATTCTTTCTCCAGGAGCTGCAGAAACACAGATGTCTCCAGGTACAAAGCCCTCAGAACTGGCCTCTCTACCCACTTAGCACTGGCCTTACTACTCTGTCTGAGGCATCTTGCCTTTCAGCCTGTCATCACCCCATTCCCAGGACCAGAAATGTCCCATCTCCCGAGTTCTCATTATCCCTTTCATAAGACTCCGATGCCCTTTTTCACCAGGCCTGCCCCTATGTCTCCCCAGGCTGTGGGCAGCCCCGGATGTCTGGCCGCATCGTGGGAGGGAGGGATGCCCGGGAGGGGGAGTGGCCATGGCAAGCCAGCCTGCAGTACCATCGGTCCCACGTGTGTGGGGCCTCACTCATCTCTCGACAATGGGTGTTGACCGCAGCTCACTGCTTCCCAAGGTTCGTCGACCACGTAATCCTCCAGGGCCCTTGGGTTCTGGGAAGGAACAAAGAAGGATCTGGGTAGGACAGAGACTGGAAGTGAAAGTCTGGGTTAGAGGGGGAAAGAGCCTGATGCCTGGAGCAGGGAATGGGCAGAAATGGATGTCTGAGTGGTTGGGAAAAAATGGGAGCCCTAGGAATCCTAAAGCTTGGACCCTACGAAAGGAAAGGGGGCAAGGGAACAGAACGCCTAGGTTCCTGTTCCCCTCCCGTTCTGGGCCAGGGGATGGGACGAGCAGGGTTTGGGAAGGTGAGAGCTCAGAGGACTCAAAAAAGGAGCCAGAAGAGAAGCAGAGGATACCTGGGTTTTCGGAGTGGGAAAAAGGACGGGAAGGGGGAGGACGCCTGGGTCCCAGGAGGGAATAAGTTCCAGGGTTGGACCAATTGACCTGGGTTTAGAGTGTTCGGACCATTGATTTTGGAGCTACAGAACCTAGGTTCAAATCCAGATCTTCTATTTAGTGCCTGGATGATCTTCGGTAACCCGAAATACTTTCGGTATTTAATATAGGTATATAAATACCTTCGGTAACTGCTCTGAACCCCATCTGTAAAATGGGAGGGTTGGGCGACGTGACCTCTGATATCCTTCCAGTCGAAAACCCTAGAAAGAAAAAAACGCTTTCGCTCGGACCTCTCCAGGAGTAGTACGCCTGACTCCTCTGCAAGACCTAGGCGCGAAGACTGCCGGGCAGGGAGCGGCCAACAGAAAGAGGCCAGCTGCTGATGCCCTGCACCACGTGGAGGCCGGGGTGGGGGACGCCAGGGGAGGGTGGGGACGCGGGCAGGTTGGTGGAGTGCTGCGGCGAGGGCCAACCTCGGGCTCCGGGAAGAACCAGAGCAAGCGGGCTGTTGGAGGAAGAGGTGACAGAGCATCCTTGAGGGACTTGTCTCCTCCTTTCCTCGGCCCTGGGTTGCAGTTCTAATCCGCCTAATCCGACACCTCCCCCAGCCTCTCCCTGACTCTCTCACCCCCAGACCCATAAGGCTGTCGGAGTACCGCCTACGACTAGGCGAATTCCGCCTGGCCCGGCCCTCGCCTCAAGCTCTCTCTCTGCAACTGCTGCGGGTCGTGCTCAACGCCAACTTTACGGAAGACGGGGCCCAGGGCGACATAGCGCTGGTCCAGCTCCGCCGCCCGGTCCCATTCAGTGCCCGTATCCGGCCGGTCTGCCTACCTGGACCTGGAGCCCTGCCACCCCCAGGCACCCGGTGCTGGGTCACTGGTTGGGGCAGCCTCCAGGCCGGAGGTGAGCTGAGAAGGAGCGACCAGGGAGTCCTCTCCTGGCAGAGAACTCTGTATTCTGCCCCATCCACTTACCCCCAAATGGGGGGAAAATTGCATACCTATCTCCTCACTACTGAGCCCAAGAATGCTCCCTTTCCTCATTCTCCATCGAACCCACAGTTCTTTTCCCACCAGTGGGGTATCCCAGTGTGCCCCCATCCCTTCAAATTTCCATTGCTCTCCTTCCCCTACCCCTGCTAGAGAAGTATTTCTGAGAGGCTGCTATTCCTCTCCATGCCCCAGGGCTGCCCATCCCTGTTCTGTCCTGTTCCCTCAGCACCACTGCCTGGCTCCCGGCCCCTGCAGGGTGTCCAGGTGCCCCTGATAGACAGACAGGCCTGTGATCGGCTCTACCACATGGACTCTGACACCCCCCTCTGGGAGCCCATAGTCTTGCCGGGCACTCTATGTGCAGGCTATGCCAGAGGCCACAAGGATGCCTGTCAGGTAAGACTCCACCTGGGACCTAGGATTACTGCCCTCCCAGCTGTAGCAGCCCACTGAGGTGGGCTTCCTCCCCCCATCTCCACCTCAAAGAGGGGATGTGAACTGGGTGCATCAGAAATTGTGAGGATCCCTGCCAGGGTGTCTTCACTTTAGCACTGCTAAAAGGGTAGGAAATTAGGTGATCCACCAAACCTGGCCAAAAAACTGTGAGAATCATGTGAAGGTTTCATATCCAAGCCTTCTTTAGTAGGACTGACTGGTTCCATTGGCCCCATGATAGGGTAGGGGAAGGATCAATGGCTCAAGTAGTTAAATCCTTTCCCATTCCCCATATATCAGTGAACAGGATGCAGTGGGGACCTCAGCTGTAGCAGCCCTAAGACCTGACACTTGGGTTCCAAGATGGAAAAAGGAGCTGGCAAGCTAGGAAGGGAAGAGGGATGCTGAGGTTGGCGGGGTGGGAGCTGGGACAGCAACAGCCTGAGTTCTGAGAAGGGCATCGGGGCTGAGAATACCAGGAGAGCTGAGCTGTTGTCTTCCCTCAGGGAGACTCTGGGGGCCCCCTGGTGTGCATCCAGTCTGGTCGATGGGTCCTTGAAGGTGTGGTGAGCTGGGGCAAGGGATGTGCTTTGCCCAACCGCCCAGGCATCTACACCAGTGTGGCCCACTACTGGCCCTGGATCCAGGCCCACTTGAGCATCCCAGCCCTGCACCCCCCCCACCAAGAACCCAGTCATCCCCAATCCCACCAGCTTTTGCCGTTATCCCTTCCTGGTTTCTAAAAATGACCAACTCAGCTCAGTGTGTGTTGGGAAAGTGAAATAGGAAGGGAAGAAAAACTCGGTATTTGCATGGAAAATTGGGTAATGGTTCTTTCAGGAAGAAACAGAGATGAACAACTGGGTCCCTCCCCCACTTCCTGACAACTTAAGGGGGCCACCTGATCCCAGGATCCTCCTCCTATTTCTAGAATTGCTCCTCCTACCTAGTTCTGCCCCTGGGGGACTCTGAAAGCTGCCTAATTTTAACCTAACATGCCTAATAAAGTTGAATAGACTCATAAACTGTGGTTTGAATGTCATGAACTCTTCCACTTCTCATTTCCCCTTTCCTTTTTTCCCATTCACCTCCTCCCTCAAAAAAAAAAAGAAAGAAAGAAATGCATCTAAAAGTCAAAGAATAGAAAGAGCAAAAACCAATATATCTCCACCACAGCCATGCGAAGGGTAAGGATGATATGACCATGGCAAGGAGTAAAATACAAAAATACCCTCTGTCTCATGAACTTAGCCAGAGCCTATACACAAGCAAGGGATCAGTGGTATACTGGAGTAAAATTTAGACTGGGACTTGTCAGACCTGTGTTCTAGTCCCAATTTTGCCACTAACTGTGTGACTTAGGGCAAGTCACTTTTCTCTGAACCTCATTTTGTCCATCTGTAAAAGGGACTGGGTTTAAGGTTTCCTTCATCCTTGATAGTTTACGTTTAAAGTTCCCCTTGAGGGATGCTCATCAATTGGAGAATGGCTGAACAAACAGTGGTATATATTTGTAATGGAATACCACTGTGCTATAAGAAATGATGAGTTGGGGACAGCTAGGTGGCTCAGTGGATAGAGCACCAGCCCTGAATTCAGGAGGACCTGAGTTCAAATCTGACCTCAGACACATAACACTTACTAGCTGTGTGGTCCTGGGCAAGTCACTTAACCCCACTGCTTAGCCAAAAAAAAAAAAAAAAATAGATGGGCTGGGTGATTTCAGAAAAGCCTGGAAAGACTCACATGAGCTGATGCAGAGTGAAGCGAGCAGAACCAGAACCAGAAGAACACTGTATGCAGCAATATTGTTCGATGAACAACTGTGAATGACTTAGTTATTCTAAGGCATACAGTGATCCAAGACAATCCCAAAGGACTCATGATGAAAAATGCTACTCACCTCCAGAGAAAGAACCGATGGAGTCTAAATGCAGAACAATGCACACTATTTTGGACTTTTTTTTGTTAGAGTTCTTCTCCACAAAAATGACCAATATGAAAATGTGTTTTACTTGATTGCACATGTACAACTTACATCAGACGTTTACCATCTCAGAGAGGGGGGAGGGAGAAAATCTGGAACTCAACATTTTCAAAACTAATGTTGAAAATAGTTTTTACATGTAATAGGGGGGGAATAAAACACTATTTTTAAAAAATAAAAAGTTCCCCTCCAGCTCTAGTAGTCTATAGTTGGTCCATTTTTTTCCAATAAGAAATCAGGGTACCACTCTGCCTGGAGGTAACAGGACCACGGGAATATAACACACATACAGCCTTGCCCACCCTTCACTCCTCCCACCCCCCTCTGCCACAGAACCATAGACTCTCAGAGCTAAGGAGGATTGAAGCATAACCAGGGCCACAGATGAGTCAACAAGCATTTATTAAGTACCCATTATGTGCCAGACTAAGAAGGAGGGGTGTAGGGCATACAAAAAAAAAAAGGCAAAAACAGTCCCTGTCCTCAAGGAGCTCACAATCCAAGGGGGAGAAAACGTGCAAACTAGATATATACAGGATAATTTGGAGAAAATCTCAGAAGGAAGCCACTAATATTAAAGAGGGCTCAGACTTTTTGTACAAGGTGGATTTTTAGCTGAGGCTTGAAGGAAATGAGAGGCCAGGAGACCAAGAAGAGGAAGAAAAGAATTCCAGGCATGAGGGAGAGCCAGTGAAAATGCAAAGTAAAAAGATGGAGTGTCTACAAAAGGAACAGCAAGAAAGAGCGGCCGAATCAAAGAGTATGTGGAGGGCAATATGGTATAGGAAGTCTGGAAAGGTAGGAGGGAGACAAGGTATGAAAGGTTTTAAAAGCCCAACAAAGGATTTTATATTCGATCCATCCTGTAGGCAATAAGAAACCAATGCAGGGGTGGGGAACCTGCAGCTTCAAGGCCACAGGTGGCCCTCTAGGTCCTCAAGTGCTGCTCTTTAATCAAAGGGCCATCTTCACTTGAAGACCCAGAGGGCCATACGTGGCCTTGCAGCCAAAGGTTCCCCACCCCTGAACCAATGGAATTTACTGAGTAGATGTGTGACATGGCCAGAACCACACTTTAGGAAGAGTTTTCCTTCTTGGTTTTAGTCAATCATGTGGGAGCTTTGGGTCCTGCTTCCGGCCATGTGTTGACCCAGCACTGAAAGAACTTGTTTTTTTGCTATAATATGGCAAATGCTGAGTAGTCACTTCCACCATCTACCAATCACATCCACTCAACAGGTAAGTTTCCATCTAGGCCCTTAGCTGTCTTTTCTGCTTTGTATTTGATTCCCTGCATAGGGAAACACTAGCTTTGGTGTAGACATGTCCAGGTTTGGAAATGATCTCAGTAGTCTGAGAAGTCCACACATCCTGGGTCCAAGGAACAGAGATGGCTAACAGGGGAAATATCTCCAGCAAAAGAGGACTAGTCCAAGGCTGGCCATTTTACTAACAGATGTGTTACCTGGAGTGGTTTAGACAGTACAGTCTCTGGAGGGTATATAATTGTAGTTAAAATTTTTAAGTCTGTACTGATTAGAGAAATGCAAATTAAAACAACTCTGAGGTACTGCCTCACACCTAACAGATTGGCTAATATGACAAAGAAGGAAAGTGATAAATGTTGGAGAAGATGTGGGAAAATTGAAACACTAATGCATTGATGGTAGAGTTGTGAACTGATCCAACCATTCTGGAGCACAATTTGGAATTATGCCCAAAGGGCTATAAAACTGCATAACATTTGATCCAGCAACAACACTACTAGGTCTATATCCCAAAGAGATCATACAAATGGGAAAAGGACCCACGTGTACAAAAATATTTATAGTAGCTCTTTTTGTGGTGGCCAAGAATTGGAAATTGATGGGCATCCCATCAATTGGGGAATGGCTGAACAAGTTGTGGTGTATGAATGTGATGGAATACTATTGTGCTATTAGAAATGATGAACTGGCAGATTTCAGAAAAGTCTGGGAAGATTTACATGAACTAATGCTGAGTAAAGTGAGCAGAACCAGGAGAACACTGTACACATAGCAGCAACATTGTGCAATGACCAACTTTGGATAGACTTAGCTCTTCTCAGCAATGTAACGATCTAAGACAATTCCAAGGGACTCATGATGGAAAATGCTGTCCACATCCAGAGAAAGAATTATGGAGTCTGAATGCAGATTAAAAGCATACTATTTTCTCTTTTTTTGTTTTGTTTTTCCTTTCTTATGGTTTTTCCCTTTTGTTCTGATACTTTTTTCATAACATGACTAGTGGGGAAATATGTTTAATATGACTGTACATGTATAGCTTATATCAGATGACATGCTGTCTTGGGGAGAGGAGAGTGGAAGGAGGGAGAAAAAAATATGGAATTCAAAATCTTGTAAAAATGAATGCTGAAATCTATTTTTGCATGCAATTGGAAAAAATAAAATACTATTAAAGGGGGAGGGGGAATTTTAAGCTTGTATGTGTTAAATACATACTTACAAGTGCTCTGTTTAAGCATTTCCTTTGTGTGTAGGAAATAAATGCCTGTCCCATATCCGAGTCATATTATATATTGAACACTCTTCTACTCTCATTTGAAGAAACCCTAGACAAATGCCATAACCTAAGGCTTCAATAAATTTTCCCTAGGGCTCCAGGGTGGAGGTTTTATGAACCAAAGAGTGTGAGAACAGGGAACCTAAACCTATCATTCATTACAGCAAACACAGTCTAAACCACATGCTTGTGTGTTGAGGTTTAGGGGTGCTCGATCCCGAAAGAGCAACACTTGGGTCCTGCCCAAATGAATTCCACCCAAGACTTCTTTTAACCAAAGATAAGGTTTATTGAAATACTGATAGAGGGTGGAAGTGATTCTAAAAATCTGCATTATAGGCTAGACTCTTAAGGAATCTGAGCCATTCAATGGGAGGCAAGATGGACCTCATATACAGAAAGACTGTGGGAAGGATCTAGGAGTGGCCAGTAGGCTGGGTGACTAGGAGGTAACAGAGAATGCCAGAGACTTGGACCACGTGGCCAAGGGGAAACGGAGTGTAGACAGAATTAAAGGTGGGAAAGAGGATATCCAGAGCTAACAAACAATGAAAATTGGGCCGGGTCAGAATAACAGAATTGAAGATTGGGCATAGGCCACAATGAAAGGGCAGTTGAGAGGAGTACTGGAATGGTTAGGTGCCTCCAGGCTGACGCCAGAGACTTGACCATGTGGGAAAATTCAGGGAGAGTTCAGGGTGGGGTGGAGGCATTTCTCATAGCCTGTACCCAGTCACTTGGGTCCCAGAAGAGAGGAACCCCTTAATGGAAAAGGGAGTGATACGATACCTCAACTCCTGTGTGCCTAGAAGCAGTTTCTCAATGTTAAAGTACAATCAAAAAACGTAAAGCTCAAAGGGACCTTAGAAATCATCTAGTGATTCCATTTTCTTCATTTTGGAAATGAGGAAACAGAGAGAAGAGAACTGTCCAAAGTCACAAATCAGTCTGTAGCAGTCAGGATTAAAACCCAGATTCTGACTCCCAGTCCAAGTAATATTTTTGCTGTCTCCATGTTCACAGTAACTCACCCTCAAGCCAGGGATCTTGAAGACCACAGGAGTGTGAGGTCAGAGGTCAGAGAATAAATTCACTCTAGTTCAACCTTCCCAGGCCAGAACAACAATACAACCCAGCTTAGGGGATGAATATGACCTAAAGAGCCCTTGCTTTCTGGTTTCCATCAGTTTCTGGTGCCTCTTTTTAATCTCATTCTTCACCTAGCTTCACTTCCTGGTCCTTACTTGTCCTTTCTCCTATCCTTTTCTCTGCTGGCATTCACACTCATTCATTGTCTCTGACTCTCTCCCCATCTCTCCTTCCTGCTCTTCATCCCTCTTTCTCTTCCCCTCTCCTACTCTGTCTCTCTTTTTCTCTCTCCCCCAAGTTCTTTAAACTGTTGTTTCCTGGAATCCAGAGTCTCTCTGGCTTTTCTGAAAGAGTCACAGGTTTGTTTATTCACTGGCAATTAACTTTTTATATCATCTGCTCAGTCACCAGGCTATGAAGCCATCCTTCGGTGCTGGGGCAGGGCAGAATTTGCCAGAGTCCTCTCTGACCTGGACCTTGTACTGCTTCTCTTCTTCTCCTTCTACTTGCTCTTTTGTGGAATCACATACCCCAGGGAGTCATCAGAGGACAAATCACATTGTAAGTGTCACTTCATTATTTAGAACATAAATTCTTTAAAGTCAGGGACTGTTTCTTTTTCTTTTTTTTGTCTTCTTATCTCCAGTGCCCAGCAGAGTGCCTGGCACATAGCACGTAAGTAATAAATGCTTGTTTATCAATTGTTGTCCCTAGCCACACCATTTGTCCCTCCCTCCATCTTTGTTTCAACTTCCTGATGTGTCAGCATTTTTCTCCCTTTTAGATTTCCTCCTTCCTCAAGCTATGGACTTCGGCAAGTATTTCTGTGTACGTTCATCTCAACATATGTCTGTGTATCTTCAATGTGCATACCTGTGCATCAGCAAGGGCTATAAAACTGCATACCATTTGATCCAGCTATGCATGTGTCCATACATGTATGCCTAAGTGTACCTACACATGTGTACCTATGTTGGGACACTATGCTTATGGAATATTGCACATACTGTCATGATGAGTTATTCTAGATTTTGCTGAACTGCTCTTTTCTCTTCATGTTTTTATTTACTAACAAAGAATGGACAACTTAAGAGGGGAGAAAATAGTAATAATATATTCAGAAAAGACTATGATGTAAAAATATATCAATTTTTAAAAATTTCAATAAACTGTACTTGTGTAGGTCTGTGTGCATATATCTACAATTCAACTCAACTCAACAAGTCAACCATGTACCAGACACAGACTCAGATCCACCAGGCTCTTGGTTCTGAGGAAATAAAGACAAAAACAATAGTCCCTGCCCTCAAGGATTTACAACATGGACACAGATAGGAGGCATGTACAAAATCGATGCAAAATAATTTCCTGTGAAGGAAGGCCTAGTGATCTCTGTGAATCAGGAAGGATTTCTTGTAGGAGGTGGTACTTCAACTGATGCCTAAGGAGAGCTAGGCCTTCTAAAAGACAAAAGTGAGAAGGAAGAGTATTCTAGGCATTGTCAATGCAAAGGAAAAGTGGCAAGAAATGAAATATCCTAAATGGGGAACAAGAAGCAAGCCAGTTTGCCTGGATCACAAAGTTCATGAAGGGAAGTAATATGAAATAAGTCCATGTGGAAAACAGGTTGAAGCCAGACTGTGAAGGGCTTTGATTCCCAGAGGAACTTGTATTTTATATCGTTAGGCAAGAGGGAGCCATTTATGCTTCTTGAACAAGGGAGTAACATGGTCAGACCTAAGCTCTAGAAACATTGTTTCGGTAGCAGGATAGCAAATGGATTGAAGACAGGAAAGACATTCTATTGCCCTAAATAGAATGAGTATAAGTTAGAAGGAATAAGTTTCTGGGAAAAAATAAGGAAGCTGCAACCCCCTACCCCCAACCTAGGACCTAGGATTCTGGCTTTCTCACCCGGTTTTGGTGAAACTGAACTGAATCTGGAACATCCAGGTGGAGACGTCCAGCAGGCAGTTAGTGACTGAATGTAAGCTCCTTGAGGGCAAGGACTTTCATTTTTGCATTTTTATCCTGGTCTGTGGTGGGTACTTGGCACTTAATGTTTGTTGATTAGGGACTGAGATTGCAACTTGGGAGAGAAATGAGGGCTGGATTTGAAAGTTATAACAGGAACTATAGTTAAAGCCATAGGAACTGATGAGCTCACCAACAGAATACGGAAAGAAAACAGGGCCTCAGCAATGCAAGGATCTAAGACATCTCCAAAAATCTCATGATGGAAAATGCTATCCACATCCAGAGAAAGAACTACAGAGTGTGAATGTAGATCGAAGCATACTATTTGCTTTTTTTTCTTCTGTTTTGTTTTGTTTACTCTTTCTTATGGTTCCTCCTATTGGATTTAATTCTGCTTCACAACATGACAACGTGAAAATATGTTTAACAGGAATGTATATGTACAGCCTAAATCAGATTGCAAGCAGTCTTGGGGAGGAATGCGGGGATGGAGAGAGAGAAAATTTAAAATTCAAAAGCTTATGGAAGTGATTGTTGAAAACTAAAAATTAATTAATTAATTTTAAAAAAGAAAAGAAAAGAAAAAGAAAAAAAAACAGGGCATAGGACATAGCCCTAGGTACACACATATAGGGGTCAGGACACAAAGTAGACTGGGAAGGAGTAGCCAGACAGAGAAGAGGATGATCAACAGTTTCAAATGCTGTAAAGGGGTCAAAAAGGATGAAGAAGTACTTAGAAAATTTGGCAAGTAAGATATTGGTGGCCTTGGAGAAAGCAGTTTCAGCCTATCAGTGGGGTCAGAAGCCATATTACAAGAGGCTGAGAAGTGAGCAGGAGGTAAATAAATAGAGGCAAGGAATGTGGAGAGCTTATTCTGTTTGGCTGTGAAAGGGAAAAATAAGGATGAACAAGTGAGGGAATTTCCTACCCCACTATACCCGATATACATTTATATTTGAATTTGCTTTTCCCTGTGTCTCCTTGTCTCTCCTACTCCTCAAAAATGTCTGAGTCACAGGCCAAAAGCTCCTAGCATTAGACAACTTATTTCCCTGTAGCTATAAACCTCTATCTCTTGAGACTTTAACCCTATAAGTCCCTCTAGATAAAGTCTAAAATGGACTGTGGGTAAGGATCCCTGGGTCAAAATGCTCTGGCAAGGGGTGGCTGGGCTGAGTAGCAGGCAAGAAGGCTGGGAGTGGGATGGCTGACTCCCTCCACTTCAGTCCTATCAAAAATTGAAACCACAACTTGTTGACTTGGCTGGCACTTTTCTGACCTGCAAATCCATGAGAGAAAAACACACCCACACACATGCATATACATACACACACACACACACACACACACACACATACACATATGAAGTAAGTTCAAGGAAGCACCCAAGCTGGGGTGCTGGCATAGGGAGCTCCGAGGGGGTGGAGTTAATCATTCTCAGATCAGCCTATCGCTGCCTTCCCCAAGCCTAGGGGACAAAAGGACAGTAGCTGTGGAGCCCTGGCATTCTGCCCACAGCCCCAAGGCCCAGTAAGGGAAATGGAACAACTGGGGACTGCCTGGCTCTTGCTGTTGCTGCTACTGCTGCCACCCGCGACAAAAGGTGAGTCTGGGCCCCAAAGCACCTCAATAGGACCCAAGCATCCCTTTCCATCACTCTTTTCCCCACTCTTCAATGCCCTTTGTTCTAGCCTACCACAGGGTCCTTCCTACCACCCTGGCCTCACTGCCCCCAGAGGATCAGGCACCTTATCCCCTGCTAGGTTTCTGGGGTTCTCACCAGAACCCAGATGTCTTGTCCTCTAGTCCTCATTCTTCCTAAGATCCAGGTATCTAGCCCCAGTACTCCTTCCCCCAGGGCTCAAAAATACTGTACCTCAGCTCCAGTTGTCCATAGGACAACCCTAAGATCACCCCAGTATCCAGAAGTCCTAGATGTTTGGGAGCCAACCAGTTCCAGAAAGCTCCCTTCTATCTGGGGTGCTGGAGTCCTATACTTCCTTCTATCTTTTCAGGGAGATCAATTCCTTCAGCACAAGGATCTCTGAAAAACCTGTAACTGAAAATTAAGTCCCCTACATGATGAAAAATCAGTCCAAGGAAAAGCAAAGGGTGATCTATAGGGATGGGAGAAGGGGAAGAAAGTAAAAACTGAAGTCCAGAGTATAGCAATTGAGGATCTAAAGACAGAATTGAGGCATCTAAACGGGGGGGGGGGGGAGGGGGGGGGAGGGGAATAACAGGGGAGATGAGAGACTAAGGAGCAGAAAAAGAAGCAGGGTAAAGGGAGTAGCTGAAGAAGAGAGAGGTCCCTAACAGCCCAGCTAGACACCCTAATAGGCAGCCAAGTTAATTAATCATGACACTAGCTCAAGATCCCTCTCCATACTACTTGTCATCCTGTCCTTTCCCTTCCCAGGTGAAGAAGGTCACTGGATAAGTTCAGGTAGGTCACTGGAGGCAAGAAGAGGGATCATGGGGTAGAATCAAGGGGAAGGTATAGAGGCTCTGGGGAGATCTGGAGGGCATTGGGCAAATTGGGGCAAGGCAGAGCCTTGGTGCCAAGTCTGCCTTCTCTGTTTAGGCTGTGGTCAGCAAATCCTGACAAACCAGGTGAATGAGCGCATCGTTGGAGGCAAAAATGCCCATGCAGGGGCTTGGCCGTGGCAGGCCAGTCTAAGGCAGAACAAGAACCACATCTGCGGGGCCACTCTCATTTCCCATAGCTGGGCTCTGACAGCTGCCCATTGCTTTCACCAGTGAGTGACCAGGCCCCTTCTCAACCAATCACTTCTTCCCCCGAAGGCCTGTGACCCTATCTAAGAGTCAGCTGAACCAACAGCTTAATCTCCCAGATTCCTTCCATCCAGTCCACAGACACAACTGTGCCCCAAACTGAAGCCCAGAAAGGGGGAACTGTCCTGCCTATAGTCTCACGACCAATTACTGACAGAGCTGGAACCAGAATTTGAGTTTCCTGACTTCAAGTCCACTGGTCTTTTCCCTATTATACTCCCTCATCTGAGATGTTTGCAACTCCCTGGAAATAGATATGTGAACAAGCTGGTTGTACCCTGGCCTAGAAGCAAGATATCAGATTTAGGTTCTCTGTGATTGATTCCAGTTCCACAACTCACGGGGGGAGAACATTTTAACATCTTTGGGCAACATAGAGAGGATAGTCCAAGTCGCTTTTAATATTTCTATAGAAATAGAAAGTACTGTCCTTATGGCTGTGTTTAGTTATATTTTGTTGTTTTCCATCCTTCCAATCATTTTGGGGGTGGAGGGGAAAGGGAGGCAGAGCTGGTGATTTTGGCACAAAACAGTTCCTGGGGCAAGCAGCTCTAAATGTACCCGCAAATCAGCTATGGGTGGAGATCTATAGGAAGCTGCTGCTGGAAAGGCTGCCATCCAGCAAGGAGGATAAGGGCTGGGCTACAAAACCAAGTCTAGTATAAATCTGTATTATCTGTAATTGTTGGGGTCTGGGGCAAAGCTCTGGTCGCCCTGCTCTTGTTACAGCTCTGCGGGAAAGATAACAATAGTAGCTGTAGCAATTGCCCAAAACATTAGTCCTCAGTGGCTGGTACAGTTTCCCGGTCACCAAGTTGGTCTCAGCACCATGCCACCTGCATTTCCAGAGCGGTGAGTCAGTCACCCCATGCTGAGATACAACTCATAAACAGTTATGTGCCAGTCTTAATCCACCCCCTCCTTGAGACAGTTTGCCCCCTGCCCCTAGGAAGCTCACACACACTTGGGGCAACTTTCAGAGACAACACTATGCAAGATCAGGTTATAGGATTTCCTGCAAAGCTTACAAACCATTGTGCTGGGCCTGGGGTTCCCCTCCCTGAACACACTTCCAGTCCTGTCCCAACAATTTCCCTCCTGCCCCCATCCCCACCCCCTTTGCAGGCCTTTCCAGGTGTCCCAGTTCCAGGTAGTCCTCGGGGAACTCCAGCTCTTTTCCACTCCAGGCCAATCCATCTCAAGTCCACTGAGCCAGGTGATCCTGCACCCAGACTACTCCGGGGTAGATGGTTCGACGGGGGACATTGCCCTCTTGAAGCTGGCCCAGCCTCTCAAATTCTCCACCTGGATTCTGCCAGCCTGTCTCCCTGAGGCCTCCAACCCCTTTCATACTAATTCAACCTGCTCTGTGACAGGATGGGGACACGTGAAGGAGGGAGGTGAGCCTGGGGAGTGAGGGAGACAGGGGGAGGTTCTCATGGGGGAAGAGGGGAGTCTGATGAAGCTTCCCAGACCTAGGTGAAGTTCTCCAGCCCAGCCTCTGCTGGGAAGTTCAGGATTGCAGCCAACAGTTCTCCAAGGAATGGGTAGAGGTGGTCATGGACAATTCCACAAGGTAGATAATCCCTAAGTGATTTCACCTGCAAATATTTAATAATGATACCTCAGTTTTCTATAACACTTTAAGGTTTACAAAAGTGCTGTCCTCTCAACAACCTTGTGAAGGAAGTAGTGCAAGTGGTATTATCCCAGTGTAAACTGAGGAAACTAAGGCTCAGAAAGGATAAATGACTTGCCCCTAAGCTACTAAGATTGGAGTTAAGATTTGCACTATGGCCAGCCTGATGTCCTCAAAATCTTAACCAACAGAAAAAGTCTGGTCCTCCTGTTTCACCCTTCCCTTCTCTCCCAGCTGGGGAACTACCTACAGCATCATCTCTTGGACTGGCACAGAACAGGAAGCTAAGGAAAAATATCCCCCTGTTCTCCCTTTTTGCTGAAGCATTATCCTTGGGTCTAGGGGACAGGAGGTCCTTATCACATGGAAATAAAAACGGAAATTTTCAATTCACCAAGTTTTAGCCCAGACCTGTGTTAGGCGCTACTAGGGAAAATGAGACCCAGTCCCCACTGTCCTGGTCCTCAGAAGCACATAATCTGGAATACAAAACTCCCAGTAGGGAAGTTGCACAATAGAAAAGGATATCTAAATCAATGTTAAAGTGAATGATTCTGTCCCTTAAATACTATCTATAGACATTCAAAAAAAGCAGAGATCACTAGGTGGTAGGGGTGATCAAGGAAGGCTCTAATGGAAGAGGCAGGACTGGAAGTGCTGAAAACAACTCCCCCCTCCAAAAAAAATAGAAGTCCAGGTTAAGGAATGAAATGAACAAACACCTAGCATGCTCATTCAACAGTGGATTTGTGCTGGGAAACAATAATAATAGCTGACATTCATATAGTACTCTTTGTTTGGGTCTTTATTTTTGTGAGGCAATCAGGGTTAAGTGACTTGCCCAGGGTCACACAGCTAGTAAGTGTCAAATGTCAGGAGGTCGGATTTGAACTCAGATCCTCCTGATTCCAGGGCAGGTGCTCTATCTACTGTGTTACCTAGCTGCCCTCACATAGTACTCTTAAGGTTTGCAAAATGCTTTACAAATGTTATCTTATTTGATCCTTGCAACAAATCTCTGAGGTACCTCAAGTATTATTTTTTTGATTTTAAAGTTGATAAGACTGAGGCTCGGAGAGGTTTAGTGACTCACCTAAGGTTGCACAGCTAGGTAGGATTTGAACCCAGATCCTCCTACCTCTATATCTAGCACTTTATCTATTATACCACAAATAAAGTAGAAGAGTTAGGTTAGGGGTAGATTAAAAAGGGCCAAGAATTCGAGGATAAAGAGTCTGGAATCATAGTTACCTAGAATTAGTAACTTATAGTTTGTAGACTAACCTAGATTAGAAATCTAATCACTAGATGTGACTGTAAAGATCCAGTCCCTTCATTTTACAAATAGGGAAACTGAGGCTCAAAGAGAGTAACTTGCCCAAGATCAAAAAAAGTAGTACGTAGCAGAGCTAGGACTAGAGTCCAGGTCTCTTGCTTCACAGAGCACACAGTCCTACAACCAGTACAGAGTTTACAGTGAACTCAACTTTGCTTACTCACCCCAGAGCTCACTTAACATCAGAAAAGCAGTTTACACAGGGATATTTCTACTTGTCTGTCCATCCCCTCTCCAGAACTAGCTGAGTTCAAAATCTTCTTTCTGCTCTCCCACAAAGATCAGGACTAGGGTTCAGCTCTTCCCAGAAGTAAGTATCTCTGCTCTGTCTCCCAACCCCCAGTCCAGCTGCCCAAACCATACCCCCTGCAGGAAGCAAAGCTGCCACTGATCGAAGCTGCGGAGTGTAACAAGATCTTGAACAGTGATCGGCATGAGGTCACCAATAAAATGATTTGTGCTGGCTATATGAATGGGGGTGTGGACTCCTGTCAGGTGAGGGCACAGATGGCAGCTGGGTTGCATAACCAAGGTCTCCTAAAACTATTGCCTCTTTGGGGGAGGGAGGGACTGAGGGACAGGCCCTGGGAGGAAATTATTTTAAAATCATGCAGTGTCAGAGCTGGGACACTGGAAATCATCTCCAGTCAAGGGATTATTAGATTTTTTTTCTGTCTTAGATCCCTTTAACAATCTGGAAAAATCTGTGAGTCCCTTTTTAAATGCATGAAACACAGGATTAGCCAAAATCCAATTATACTGAATTACAGTTATCAATTTTTAAAAAAACTTTACAAATCCTAGGTTAAAAACCTCTAATCTAGTCCTGCCTCCAAATTTTACAGAGATACTGAGGCAAAGATAGACTTGCCTAATGAAGGTTATAAGTGAGTTAATAGCAAAGCCAGACCTAAAACCCAAGTCTTCAGACTCCAAGTTCAAGACTCTTTCTGCTGAGTCGGGTTAAATCCTATTCATATAATTTTAGGGTAGAGATTATGGATTAATTAGAAAAAACCCTAAACTGAGTCAGGAAATCTGAATTTTAGGCCTGGCTTTGCCACTTACTGTGTGACCTTCAGCAAGTCATCTGAGGTTCAATTTCATTCTTTCATGTGAGAGGACCCAGTGGTTTCTAAGGGTCCTTCCCATTCTCATATTCTATATTTTGGGTGGGTGGGCAGGCTAGGGAGCTGAGACTTGGAAGGACTACTTCCTGCCTCCCTTGTCTGATGTGGGTGGGGGAGGGTGTCCTGGAGAAGGTGGGTTTGAAATCTAGAGAGGAAGGGGGAAGATAAAGGAAGTTAGAACATTGAGAAAACAGGTTCTTACTCAGGCCTAAAGTAATAAGCCTTTCTTCCTAACCTTAGGGTGATTCTGGGGGTCCCCTGGTATGTCCGTATGAGGACTCCTGGTTCCTGGTGGGAATCGTAAGCTGGGGCATTGGCTGTGCCCAACCCGGAAAACCAGGTGTCTACACTCTCGTCTCTGCCTATAGGGACTGGATCCAGAGGCACACATCAGAGGTGCAGTGGGGCAACTACAGCATCAAAGTCTGGAATGCTGCTGTCACACAGACTCACGGTCCCCATCTCATCAGCCTCCTTCTGGTCCTGTGGGGACTTGCCAACAGTTACTGAATTCCTCAACAGCTGCTGCTTCCCTTCTATTTAACCCTGTTCGACCTCCCCACCACCCACATGCCCAGATGCATCCAAATCTCTCCTTTTCCAAATCCATCTCTAGTACCTTCCATTTCTAAAAGGACTTCAATACACTCAGCCTTGTCAGCAGATGCTCCCACCCCAAAGACTGACTATAATTCCTCTCCCCCCTCCCAATCTCCCCTACCTGGGTTGGCACAGAGATAGCACTTCAGTATCTAACTCGACCTTCTCTTTAATAAAGATGCCAGAAGAAAGATTAGCAGTAAGCCTATTGGGCCCCAGCCAGAACAAGCCCCACCAGTTGTCTCTCCTCCAAAGGGGTGTTGCAGAGGAGCGTCATTAGAGTGCAAAGCAAGGGGGGAGAGGGGAAGCAGTTAAGTAAGAGGGGGAGGCAGGGATGTAAGTCCTAAGCTGTAAACCAAAAGATCCGTTTGATGTCCAGCTTTGCCACGGACTCATCGGGCAAATCATTTCCCCTCCCTGGGCTTCTTTTTCTCCTCAGTAAAATGTGGACCCAGTAAATTCAAAGGCACGCCCTACTCCAATATGTTAAGAGTCCGCCGAGGGTCAAACTAAGGCCTCCTTCAGGGAAGTGAATGAGAAAAGTAAACAGTGAACGCCACCGTAACAGCGTCTGTTTTCATGCCTCTGGGGCAAGGGGCCTGCAGAGCAGGGAGGCTTCCGAGAACAGACAGCCTGGGCTTGTTGGGAAGGCGGGGGATGCGGGTGAAAAGTTCAGAGAAAGGAGCCGCTGGAAGAGCTGGGTGCCCTTTAAGGGGGACACTGAGGAAATGAAGCGCTATCCAATGCCATGGGGGGATGAGGGGTGCGGGGCAGAGAGAAACTCACACAAAAGAGAGGACAGAGACAAGAGACAGAGAGACGGAAGAGGCAAGAGATAAAAGACCAAAAGCTGAGAGACAAGAGACAGAGAGAAAAAAGACAGGAAAAAAAAAAAAAACAAATGACTGGGAGAGACAGGAGTTAGAGACAGAGGCTCAGAGACGGAAAGAGAGGCAGAGACAGTCAGAGACAGAGAGGGAGGGAGGGAGGCCACACTCTCGAGGCCCTGTTACTCATTTCCCTGCCTCAGATTTCTAGTTCTCATCCCACGCCTACAGGAAGTACTTCGGTCTGACTTCATTCCCTTCGGTTTAAAATTAAATTTATTTCCCTTTCCGTCTAGCGGGCCTGACTTGAAGGTTTCCTCCTCCTCCCTCTTCTCCCCCCCCCACCCCCTCCGGGAAGCCTTCTCCGATTCAGCAAAGTATGAGTTAACCAACGGGCCTCTATCCCAAGATGGAAGTCTAGAATGAGCCCAGAAATGACCTTCTCATCATGGCGGCCGGAAGTACCCTCTGACTACAACCGGGAGGGCAGCCGCCCTCGTATGACAGATCTTCTCAAGATGGTAACCTTTTATGGGCTTCCTTCTGTTTAGTACCGACTGTCGTTTGGCAGGGCCCTCCGCAGCCACGTAGTCCAACCCATACTCCACCAAACGTATCCCTTCCTCCGCAACCAGCGAGTCAGGTGGTCAGTCGGTCTCAGTTCGAATATTTCTAGTGAGAGGTAGCCCAACACTTCAGGCCGACCCATTCTATTGATATTTTTTCTTTACGTCAGATCTAAAATTTGCTTCTTAAATCTGTCAACATACGGTGTCCACATTGCCTCACTCCCACAAAAGCAGTTTTCCCAGAGTATCAAGAAGGGAACATCATAGGTTTATTTCATCCCAATGGGGTTTCAGTACTAGACTTACTATATTTAGGTCACCTCCCCCGCAACCCGCTACGACCTCAGTAAGATGGCGTCTTCGACGCCGCATTGTTTCCTCCCCTGACCTTACCAACATGGCAGCCTCACTTCTCCTCTACCAAGATGGCACTCGCCTCGTGCTCTCGAAACAATATTCCCTAAACCGCTACCTCCTCCCGGATTCCTAGTTCTTTAGTAAAATGAACTAATCTACTAATGTCGTCACCATGGGCCGACTTAAGGCTGCGCTTTATAATACAAATCTTTACTAAGATGGCAGCAGAGACGCGCCTAAAAAGGAGGACGTCCGAGCACGCGCATGTATAATCCCGGCAAGTAATTTCCGCCGACGCGTACTCAAAGCATCCCGGGACTGGGACGAACTGAGACTGCGCCGGGCAGTTGATTGGGGGGGGAGGGAAGCCAGACGCCGAGATGGTAAGTGAGGAGGAAGAGAAGCAAGGGGCGCCCCGAGGGGAGGGGTCGGGCTCGGGGAATGGAGACTAGGGGGCCCGGGCCGGGCTAGGGGCAAGGGGACTGGGGACGAGGAGGGGCCCGGGGTCGGGCTCGAGGCACAGGAATGGGGGCCTAGGAATGTATGGAGAAGGCCCTGCTGTGACCAGGGCTGGAAGGAGAGGGGCTCGGACGCGCCCGGGACTAGCCGGGGCGGAGAAGACTCACTCCTGCCCCTGGCCCCCAGGATGTGTTCCTAATGATCCGGCGCCACAAGACAACGATCTTCACAGATGCGAAGGAGTCGAGCACAGTGTTTGAGCTGAAGCGCATTGTGGAAGGCATTCTCAAGAGGCCCCCGGATGAGCAGCGGCTCTATAAGGTTTGTAGTGCGTCCACACGCCCCACCCCCACCCCACCCCGCATACCCACTGCTGTTCCCCCCTGTCCACACTTGTCTCATTGTGGTACACTGCTTTTGGAAGCGGAGGAACTAGGTTCAAATCGCACCTCTGACAAGTATTACTTTTGTGACCTTGTTACTTAACTTCTTTGGGACTCGGTTTCCTCATCTGTAAAATGGGGGTGTGTGGGTTTGACTAGATGGTTTCCAGGGTCCAGCTTTAGTTCTGAATCTGAACTTCCCTTCTAGGGCAGGCCTTTATCATCCGCATTAGCAAGCGTTAGAACCATGCTCTCCACACCTTCCTTGGAGAGAAGGCCGAAGGATTATTTAAACTCACTATTTTCTTACATCCCATACACCTGCTACAAGCCCTGGCATTCTTTCACTAGGTAAAGGAGAGGTTTGATCACCAAAGGTAATGCTGGGTAACTTCCAGGAGCCAGCTGTCTTTGTATTGAAAAGTTTTCTTCCCTTCTCTACCATGGGGAGAAAGGACCTTGGTCCTTCCTCCCCCAACTCAAAACCAGCTGTGTCTGCTCATTGTTTATACATACCCCATGGTCATCTACTTATTGAACATCACTGCTGAATGGCATCATCTGATTAAGAGGCTACAAGGTAACTTAGAAAGAGTTCCAGACTTGGACTAATTAGACATAAATTAGATCTCATTGATGCTACTCATTAGCCTTAAGACCCTAGGCAAGTCAGTTTGTTTCTATAAGCTTCAGTTTCCTGGCCTATAAAATAAGGATAATTAAAGTACCATATCTGATGAAGATTAAATGAGATCATGCAGGCAGAGTGCTTTGTAAATCAAAGTGCTGTCAACCTTATGTGGCATCCTCTCTTCCTGCCACCCAGAATCCCTACCTCTCCCAGCCTTCTCCTGCCTCCAGGAAGGAATGCCATAGGACCCACACACGTTCCTGGGCTGTGTGTCCTATCCCTGACCTCTTCTTAGGATGTCCCCACCACCACCTTTCTCTCCCTAGGACGACCAGCTGCTGGATGACAGTAAGACCCTGGGCGAGTGTGGCTTCACAAGTCAGACAGCCAGGCCTCAAGCACCAGCCACTGTGGGGCTGGCCTTTCGAGCTGGTAAGGAGTTGACCAGGAAAAAAAAATGGGTGTTTACCATTAGAACCGAGAACAGAAAAGTAGTACTGGAAATTAGGATGTGAATTGGCACTTTTGTAACATTGAGACTTTTTTGTATCTCTCCTTGTGTATTGCACTGCCATGAAACTATAACCAGCATTCTTCTTAGACATGTTGATAAAATTGCACTAATGGGTCTGAAGATTTCCCCCTCTATGGTTCACTTGCATACTTCTGTGCTTTAAGGAAGATGGATTCCCTACCCCCAGTAGCTAACGTTTTAAAGTTTTTACTATGTGATTCAAAAAAAAAAAAAGTTTTAGGTTATCCTTTCTGAAGATAGAAGGCAGTACAGCAATTGTTCCTGGCCTCAAAATGCAGTGATTTGATTAGAGAATAAGATGCAGCCTGAAGAGATGCTTATATTAATGTTTACAATTTGAGGTTTTCAAAGTACTTTTCTCAGAACTGAGGTCATGTGCTTAAGGTTGCAATAAGAGTTCAGAATGTAGGTACCAAATCTGCCCAGTAACAAAAGTTCTTTTAGCCATAGTTGTCAGTGCAGAAGCACTGAACTCCACTGTGCTGGGCTGGGGGGTGGATGCCAGAGATTTGAGAGACCAGTGAGGCAGATAAAACTTTGTGAAGTAAAACAGTAACTTTTGTAAAAAGAACTTATCCTTTTAAAATCCCACTGTGATGCCTCCTTGTTGTGTGGAGATAATGTTGAATTTTTGTAAACTAAGTCAAAACTGCAAAATTTGTGGGCTGGTAACTGTTGGGTGAGAATTATCCTAGGAAAAGGTTTATCACTAAATTTAACAGTCATGAATTCTATTGGTTCCAGCAAATATAGAAGACTATTTGCACTGGTGTAGGGGGTACCCATAATAATGAAATCAGATTCTAGAAGTAGTAAGTATTAAATTGTGGCACAGACAGCAAATGATGTGTAAGCATTCAGAGGAGGGAAAGGCACGAAAGGAATAATCAGGCAAAGCTTAATGAAGGTGAGATTTGCAACTAGCTGTGGTTTAAAGAATGTCCAAGTGAGGCTTGCTAAAGTAGAGGGCGCCTGCTGGTGAAAAGCCATAAAGATAGGGGGTCAAGCTATGGGAGCCAAGCAAAGGACTTACCCCTAAGATTCTAGGAACCTCAAGGGAATAAAGTGAAGCAGGTACATACAGTCCTACAACCAAGATAGCTAGTAGCTCTGAACCACTTGCAGCCACTCTGAACTACAGAAGAGAAACTCAAAAACAAGGGATCAACTGGTAATGGTTCTCTCTCCCACTCCACAGATGATGTATTTGAAACACTGCGCATTGAGTCCTTCTCCAGCCCTCCAGAACTGCCAGATGTCATGAAGCCTCAAGACTCCGGAAGTGGCACCAATGAGCAAGCTGTGCAGTGAGGGCCCAAGGCCCCACCCCCTATAGTGACCTAATACAATAAAAAATTTTGGTGTTAGGCTGTTGCCTCCATCTTCCTGTGGCCTGTGTTCTTAAACTCTTCTTTGAGCTGCTCTTCCTCCATAATATCCCTTTATCCCCAAACCATCCCCCCTAAATTCTCTTTGCCAGCAGAAGCTTTTCCCTTGTAACAATCACCCCCCCATCCCCGAGTGATTTCAAATACACCCGAAAGTGTGCTTCCAGCCCTATGTTCTCTGGGCAATTGCGAGCTGTTACCATGGCTGTAATGAAGTAGACCTGAGGACCCTTGGCAGGGAATGGATACAGGATTCTAACATTCTCTGACTCCCAAACTGACAGTTCAGTTAAGGAATCAAAATCAGTACACAAATGCAAATATAAAGAGGTCTCTGTGGGCTGCATATTGACTTGGAAAATCATAAATCAACATCTACATACTGTATTTTTATTTTGTTTGGGAGGCATTTCCCAGTTAATTTCAGTCTGATTCTTTGGCTGGTCTTAAGTTCAACACCTCTGACCTAAAAGATCAATGTAATCTGAAGTATAGGCTGAGCCTGCTTTGCTTCCCTCACCCATGCTGGTTCTAGGTAAACTAGAGCTGAACAGAGTAAAGAATGTAGGGAAAGCAAAGATGGATCATTGTGCAGGGATGGATGGAAGAACACTTGACCCTTTAGAAAGACATGGTACAGCATAACCCCCAAGGAGTTAAGATCAGAGGGTGGGAAAATTGTGTTGGAGATAAGTCACTTAAGAATAAGAGGCAACCTATTTTCCACCTACATACTTCTCCCTTACTGCATAGTATAGCCAGTCTCTGCCCCCTCCCCCCTCCAAAAATACCCAACCACAGCAAGAGCCCTGTGGAGGGCAGGCTATGTAGTCTGATAGTATAAGACCCCCACACCCTTAATTTAGGTGGGATAGTGACAGCATGAGCAGTCATGGATTATAAAATGCATAGTGCCTTTCCCCAAAAACTCACCCATTTTCTGTATATCTCCATTTACGTCAAGGGTGGAACGTCTTTCCAATCACGTTTGAAACAAATGAAGTTCCCAACTTCATTATCTTGAGAAGTCCGACTCTCAAGTCTGTACGCATCCTAACTGCAAAACCCTATTTCTCTGTCCATAATATTGCTAGCATCTCCCTCTCCACATTCATCTTTCTTACATCATTGCAATGGTCTACTAATCAGTGTTGCCTACTCTTTCCCCATTCCAATCCTCCACATAATGTCAAAGTGTTTCTAAAGCATAAGCAGGACCACATCACCCCATTTGTAGAAAAAAACCTTGTTTTTGTTTTGTATATATTAGAGAAACATGACTTTCTAAAAAGCCGTTTTGCAGACTTAGGGAGTTTTTGTATTTACTTTCCAGTTTTATTAAAATATCAAAAAAAAAAAAAATTCAGTTGCTTGTCTAGCTGTAAGTCTACCCTAGCCCCAGGATTTTTTTTTTTAGGCAACTGGGGTTAAGTGACTTGCCCAGGGTCACACAGCTATTAAGTGTCAAATGTTTGGTCTGAGGCTGGATTTGAACTCAGGTCCTCCTGACTTCAGGGCCAGGGCTCTATCCACTGCACCACCTAGCCGCCCCTATCCCCAGGATTTTTCAAGAATGATGCATACTACCAAAAATGTAAATATTTTAGTTTTTCTATCATTGAAGAAATTTTAAGTTTATGTAATCCTTAGCACATCTTTTAACTTTTTGATTTTATAATGTACTTACACATTAGCATAGCATTCATAATTCATATCTATAGGGGGGTGCATGCATAAATTGTTCACTGATGCGATACATAATCAAAACTGATTGCTGCTCTAGAGTAGCTCTGAAAAGGGTAGCGGAAAAAGCATGAGATGAACCAAGTAAATCACAGCACTGATACAAGCTAGGGAGTTGTTTATGTAACCTTTCAGCTGGATCCTCATTCAAATGGGAATACAGCTAAAACATCTTAATGTTTCACATCCACCTCACAGACTTTTTGTGCTATCTCCCCTAAGACTTTCAGTGACAAGTTAACAAAGTACCTTAAGTTATTTAACTGCCTATTAAGAAGTCCTTACATTTAAACCACTACCTACCTCCCTCTAATCTTTTATGCATGGTCCTATAGTTTTAGTTCTACCCTCCTAGAACAGCAGTATTAATTGTTCCATATGACAGTCCCTCAAAGCCATTTAATAAAGCAGTAACAATATAAAATTTTATCCTGTCATCCAAACTGGCCTGTTAGCATCTTGTTTGTGGTTAATAAGAACTGCCTCCTGGTAGAGGAAAAGAGGCAGGAGAAGAGAAGGGAAAACACCAAGAGCTATGACCAAAAAGCTTATAGTTTCTGTCGCGGGGGAACAAACTACCTATAGCATTTCAGACCAGCACACCACAAGAAAAAATGCAAACCCTCTATGCCAGGGATATGTTAGATAGTATGGAAGGGCTAGAGATTCTGGCATCTCTTTCCCAACATCCTAACTTCCTGAATAACCCAGATATCCAGCCCTTTCACCTTCACTTCTCAATAGCAAATAAATAGACCCCCACACCCAGCTCCTGCATTTCTCATTTTTATTCGACAGAAAAAGTCGCTCTCGCTGTACAGATTAAAAAAAAACCAAAATGCCTTTAAGAAACGTGAAGAAAAGTTGGGGGGAGGGGCCCATGGCCAATCTGGGTGGGGGCGCGGCACATGGAGCTAACCAACAAATTCCAATCTAACCCTGCCCCCCGGGAGCTTCCCTATCATCCTCTCCACCCAAGTTCCAAACCATCAGCCCCTGGTAAACTCAGGAGTCTGAGAGGGGTAGAGGGCAGCAGCTCCCTCCTGTTATCGTGAACTCAAGGTTGGGGAACCCCAAAACTGTACCTTTCCCTACTGATACCCTCCCACCCCAAACCCCCCAAAACACGTGAACCAGGAAAAAACTCACAGAGATCAACATTTCACAGGAACAAAGAAAAAAAAAAAACAGAAATTAAAGGGGGGGAGGGGAAGAAAGGGGACCTCCCCCCAAGAGGCTGCCAGAGTTCAAAGGAGACGGAGGCAGATGGGGGTCCCCATCCCCTGCGGCTCTGTTAGGGAGATAAGAGGGGTGCTCCCTGTGGCTCCAGGACTTGGGGTGTGATGTGGTTTCCCCAAAAAGGAACTACGGAGACCTGTAAGAAAATGAGAGATAATGAGTTCAAATCCCTACTTCTGGTTATATTCACTATAAAAGTATTGGGGAGACGGTAAGAAAGGAATGTTCTGGATATACACTAGAAGCAAAGAAAGAAAATATTCACTGATGCTAAGAACAGAGAGAGCTAAGTATATTAGAAAGAGCCCTGGGCTGGGTCAGAGTCAAAAGACTTGGTGCTCTAGTCCCAAACCTAACACTAAATAAGCTCTATGAACCTTGATTAAACAAATTCTTTTCCCATTCTGAATCTCTCATCTATAAAGTGAGAAAGTCGCACAAAGGTTTCTTCCAACTCTGACAATCTATGATTCAAGAAAACCCTTCCACTTTCTCCTTTTGTCCATACCTGGAGGAGCGATGACGGACAGGTCGAGGGCTGGGTGTTTCTCTCCTACGCTTGTGGCCTGGGGAGCGGCTATCCCCATGTGGGCCTCGTCGGGATCCCCGCTCACTGCTACTGTAATACAAAACAGAATATATAAGGGATACTTGACATCATCGATCCCTATATTAAGTCTTCCAAGCCTGGAATTATGGGAAAGGGGAGTAGTGAAGTCCAATGGCACACTGTTGGAAGGCGGTAAATAAAAACACAAATTCCTACCTATGCTGGTCCCGCGGAGAGGGCTGTGGTGAAGGGCGGCGGCGCTCAGCAGGTGAGTAGCTAAGGGAACGGGAATCCCTAAGGGAATCTATGGGCTTCCTGGGGCTTCGGGATCTAAGGGGGAATAGAGGAGTCATCCAAGGCCCCTCCCTAACACTTCTCTGTCTTCTAATTACCTGTATCACCATAACCAGACACTAGCCCTGAATCTGATTTCCCAAGTCCTTCATTAGTATATTAATGGCATTTATTGGGGAAAAAAAAAAAAAGAAAAAAAAACCAACAACTTGATACCGGGGCAGCCTGACTCCAATGTTCCATTCACCTATAACCCCAACACAGATTAGACAAGGAGCTGGCATCCCAGGGTAGGTTGGGCCTTAAAACCTAAGCAGTACTCACCTCCTCTCCCCAGGGGACGGCTTCTTAGGACTTGCAGGTTTGGGCAAGGCCTGGGGGCCAGGCTTGGCAGGGGAAGGAGAAGAGGAGGAAGAAGAGGAAGAAGAAGAAGAGGAGGAAGAGGAAGAAGATGAAGAGGAGGAAGAAGAGGAGGAAGAGGAAGACGAGGAAGATGAGGAAGATGAAGAGCTGGAGCTGGAGCTACTAGAGCGCCGTTTCCGCTTGGCTGGGGTAGGCTCCAGGGGGCGCCCCTCTCGGACAGCCTCCTTGGGGGCTGGGGAGGGACTAGGGACCCTGTGAGAAAAAGATTTTTTTGTCAGATGGAGAATTGCCCCAACCCCAACCCTACCTTATTTGGCCTAGAGGAATGGCAGTGGAGGGGTAACTGAACGGACTTCAGTCTCCCCAAGTGTTTATTCTCTGAAGATTAGTGAGCTGGTATCCTCCAACCAATGCTAACAGAAGCACAAAGCTGGAGCGCCACAGCACAACAGAGAAAAGATTAAACCTCAAGATTTCCCTGACAGAGGAATCCAAGAACCTGGCTCAGGTGTGGAAGGCTGGGTTATCTCCTTCCTTGGAAAGAGGGAAGCCCTTGTGTCTATGGGCTGGGGGAGGGGCTGGCCTGCCTAGAGGCAGGGACAGGGATAGGATGACCTCTGAAGATCCTTCCAGCCCAGGGAGTTCCTCTTGAGGTCTAACTGCCATCCCTCCTGCTGCAAATTTAAGTCCATTTCCTCTAGTTCTGTCCTCTGTAGAGATGGAAAACTATCATTACCCTCGAGAGAGTAAACCTTTGGAGACTTGTGTGCCCCCCACCACCCCACCTTAAGGATCAAGTTTCCCCCATCTCCACAGAGCCAAGACCCTCCTCCCTTGCATAGCTTACCCTCCCCTCTTAGGAGAATATCGATTCAGAGCTGGAAGGGACCTTAAAATGTCATCTAGTCCAACTTCATTGTAATGAGGGAACAGGCCTAGATAAACTGCCTTGGCCAGGGTCATACAGGTATTTAAATAGAGCCCCAAAATTGGAACCCAGGCTAACTAAATCCAGCACTCTCCAAGACTTTTTGCCCTCCCCAACATTTTTTCCAGACTTTCAACTTAACCACTCATTAAACGTATACTATGTGAAAGAAAATAACAAACTTTTAATAAGCACTCTGCCCCCTCTTCCCTAAAGCCTAACCTTTTCTCACCTTTTCAGTGCCACCTCAGGTTGACATGGGAGGCTAGAGGCCTCTGAGTCGCTGGAGCTAGATCCAGAGGAGGAGGAGGAGGAGGAGGAGGAGGATGAGGACGAGGAGCTGGATGATGACGAAGATGAAGAAGAGCTCCTCCGCTCCTTGGCAGGCTGCAAGCTGGCCAGTGGGGAGGAAGGCAGCTGGGAGCCAGCTGCAGAAATTGGTTCTGCACCATCAGAACAGGGCCCCCCAGAAGCAGGACCAGAGAGGGTGCCATTATGATCACCAGCAGGAGGCATGGTCTTGGCCACCATAGCAGGGAGTGGGGCCTGAGACCCTCCTAGAGGATGGGTCTGGGTAGACAAGGAATGGAGTTGATCTGAAACAACAGGTGGGAGAGGGGACCTAGCCCGATCCTGAGGTGGAGGGAGAACAGACTGAGAAGGAGCTAGGGCCATTCGAGAGGTATGGGGGGGAGGGGGAGGAGAACCAGCACGCTCAGAAGCCATTCTAGATTGGCCTGGGGCAGAGGGCGGGGTTCTAGAGCCTGGGATTCCAGGTGGGGTTCTAGAACGGGCTCGCTCGAGATGGGGTGGTGAGGTTCTGCCACTGACTCGGTCATAGGCAGAAAGAGCCATCCTTGAGGGGGTAAGGTTTGCCCCTGACAACGCCGGTGGCATTCTAGAGCCAGCAAGGCTCGCAGGTGCCAGACCTGGTGGTGTTCTAGAGCTTGCAAGGTTCACAGGTGCTGGAGCATGAGCAGTCCGAGGACCCACGAGGCCTGCAGATGCTGGGGCTTGTGGTGTTCTGGAACCTGCATAGTTGGCAGCAGTTGGTGGAGTGCCCGAGCCTGCAAGACTCAAGGCTGCTAGAGCAGCAGGGGTTCTAGCTCCAGCCAGGTTCACGGCTGCTGTTGCGGCAGGTGTTCTGGGATCGGCAAGGTTCACAGCAGAGGGTGCCACTGGTGTTCTTGGGCTGGCTAGATTCATGGCTGCTGCAGCTGCAGGTGTTCTAGATTCAGCTAGGTTCACAGCTGGTGGCATAGCTGATGTTCTAGCTCCGGCAAGGGTCATGGCTGCTGCTGAAGCAGCAGGTATTCTACTAGCAAGGTTTGCAGCTGGAGCCGTTCTAAGGCTCATGAGGGGTACTGGGGCTGGAACTTGAGCCATTCTGGCAGCCAGGCTTGCAGCTGACATAGAGGGAGGTGGTCGAGCTGTGCCAAGACTAATGGCTGTCAAAGCAAGGGCAATTCTAGACTGAGCATGGTTTTCTGCCACAGAGGGGGTTCTAGGGTGATCAGGAATTCTAGGACCAGGTCCATCAAGCATAGAGGCACCAGCTTGTTGCAGAACAGATAATGGTGTTCTAGAGCTCCCCAAGGCCCCAGAAATGCCAGAGCATTCAAGCATTCCAGGGGGAGTCCTACAGCGGTCCAGAGGAGTTGGTGAGATGCTAGGGCGACTGAAGCAGCTCATTCTTGAGCTGTTAAGAGCCACAGGAGGAGTCCTGGAGCCAGAATGATTCCGGGTTGCTGGAGGAGTGGCAGATCGAGAACGATCAGAGGAACTTCCTGATGCAGAACGCCGACGAATGGCTGGAGGAGACCGGGTTAGAGAACGCTTGCCACGAGCACCTCGTGGAGTACGGGATCTAGAACGCCGGCGGATAGCAGGTGGTGAACGAGTTCGAGAACGTTTGCGGGTTAACAAAGGTGTCCGGGACCTAGAGCGGCGCCGAATAACTGGAGGTGTTCGAGATCGAGACCGACGCCGAGTCACTGGAGAGGTTCGTGAACGGGACCTCCGTCGAGTCACTGGAGAAGTACGTGAACGAGACCGTCTACGAGTCACTGGAGATGTTCTGGACCTTGATCTTCTGCGAGTGATAGGTGAGGTTCTGCTTCGAGACCGCCTTCTAGTCACAGGAGGGGTTCTAGATCGGGATCTCCTACGAGTCACTGGTGGAGTTCTAGACCGTGACCTCCTACGATTTGCTGGTGTTCTGGATCTTGATCGGCGGCGAGTTACTGGTGGTGTTCTGGAACGGGACCTTCTACGATTAACTGGTGATGCTCTAGATCTAGACCTTCGTCGATTAACTGGAGACGTCCTGGACCTTGACCTCCTACGACTAACTGGTGAGGTTCGAGATCTTGACCTCCTCCGAGTGACTGGAGGTGTTCTTGACCTGGACCGCCGATGAGTAGCTGGGGAAGCTCGAGACCGAGAGCGATTCCAAGGAGCTGGTGATGTTCGAGAACGAGAACGCTTGCGGCTAGTGGGAGGTGTTCGAGAACGTCCCCGTCGACGCCGAGATGATGTCCGAGAACTCTCCTGTCGGGTGGGTGACCGAGAGTGATAACCAGAGCCTCCTCGTCGTCGACGGGTAAGACGAGATCTAGAACGACTCCGCTGCCTCCTCCGTGAAGTTGACTGAGATGAACCAGATCTGTCTCGACGACGAGTTGTTCTAGTCTTCTCTCGCCTTGAGTGGGAACGGGAACGCTGGAGTCCCCGAGGCTTTGGTGATGGAGAACGGCCTCTTCTTGAAGCTGTCTTAGTCCTTGGGGAGGAGCCTGACCGTCGCCGACGGGAGGACCTTGACTTTTCAGCTGGTTCTGGGGATGAAACTGATGGGCTTCGGTGGCGTCTTGGAGGGGTCCTAGAGCGGGCTGCTGGAGAAGATGAAGCAGATCGACTTCGACGTGAAAGCCTGGCCTTCCTAGTCAGCTCAGGTGATGACCGGGAACTACGACGCCGAGGTGGTGTACGAGATTTTGCCTTAGGCTCTGGTGAGGACCTAGAGCTTCTACGAGGAGTTCTGGATTTTGGTTGGTGCTCTGGAGAAGATTCAGAACTGCTGCTCCCTGCAGGTGATGGTCCTCTCCCTTTACTGGCAGGGGATGAACCTGATCGGCTTCGCCTGAGGAGAGTCCGAGGTACAGCAGTTTTGGGTTCAGGAGAGGACTCTGAGCCACTCTGGCCCCTGGGTGAAGCTCTTGGCTTATCATTGACTTCTGGAGAGGAAATAGATCTACTGCGTCTAGGAACTAGTCGAGGTTTGCTGTCAGCTTCTGGAGATGATCCAGAGCGACTCCTTTGCCTAACTGGAGTTTGAGTTGTACCTTTGGGTTCTGGAGAAGAATCAGACTCACTTCTTCCTTGGGGAGGTGTTCTGGGTTTCACATCAAGTTCTGGAGAAGAACCAGAGCTTTGTCTAAGTGGAGTTCTAGGAACACCCTTGTGTTCTATTGAAGATTCTGACCCACTTCTTTCTCTTTGGGGTGTCAGACATTTGTTGTTCAGTTCTGGGGATGATCCAGAGTGACTTCCTTTTCTAGTTGGTGTATCAAGCATTTTTGATTCTGGGGAAGAATCTGATCCACTCCTTCCCCTTGAAGGTGTTCTTGGTATATCTTTGATTCCTGGAGAAGAACCACAATGACTCTGTCTTGAGGGACTCCCAGACCCATCTTTCAGTCCTGGAGAAGACCCAGACCTGCTCCTCCTTGATGGGGTTCTAGGTATATCTTTGAGTTCTGGAGAAGATCCAGAACCACTTCTTCCCCTTAAGGGTGTATCTGGTGCACCATCAAATCCACAAGGTGACTGAGTAATGCTCTGAATTGAAAACATTCTGGATTTCTCTACTTCAGGAGATGACTCAGAACTGCTGTGCCTAGGTGTTCTAGATTGCTCATTTATGGCGAGACATGGACCTGACCCAAGTTGACTTAGGGAAGCAACCACTAAATCCTCATTGATTTTAGGGGATAAGACAGGTTTAATTTCTGTTATGATGTTTGTTCTGAGTTCTGAAGGAGATCCAGAACCATGCTGTTTGAATATAGTATTATTTAGTTCTTTGTGTTCTGGAGACTGTGACACCATAGTCCAGGTTTGGGTCACTGCTGGAATGTCTGCCACATCTAATGAAGTCTGTGGAAGAATCTGTCCAAGAGGCACAGCAAGGCTTTCTTTTATTTCTGGAGATGACTCAGAGATGCTTCCAGCTATGCCTTTAAGTTCTGGAGATAAATGAGGCAAGCTTTCATTTAACTGCATTTCAAATTTCTCTACCACTTCTGCAGTTACCTCAATCTGATGTGGCCCGGGTAATGCAGTATCTCTCTCTTTGACTTCTGGAGATGACTCTGAGCCATTTCTTTCCCTTGGAGGGCTCCTAGTTATGTCTCTGTGCACTGGTGAGGACTCAGGGCTACCTTGAACTGAAGGAGGTCTAGATTTATCCCTTGGTCCTGGAGATGTGTCAGATAGAGTCTGCTTAGGGGGTGAACTAGCTTTCTCTTTTGGTTCTGGAGAGGATCCAGAGCTACTGAGTCTTGGAGGAGATTTAGAGTCCATTCTGGTACACGGTGAAAACTCAGACCTGGAACTACTCTGCTGTGGAGGTGGCGTTACAGATTTCATCTTAGGACTTGAAGATCCTGCTCTCTGTCTTGAAGTTATGGATGCCACTTCAGGACTGGGAGATGAGGACCTAGAACGGCTGGCCCTAGGGGATGTCTGGGATATCCTTTTCAAAGATGGAGAAGATTCAGAGCAGCTGGGCTTTAACAATGTCCTAGATATCTCTTCAGGACTTGGTGAAAATGAATCTGATTCATGACCTGGTGGAGTTGGAGATTTTGCTTTTGGTTGTGGAGAGCTAGAGCCTGATCTACTCCTTGGTGGTGTTCTAGGCTTCACTTTGGGACAAGGGGAGTGAGATCCAGAGTGACTTAGACTTGGTGAGGTTTTTGACTTATTCTGTGGGCATGGTGAACTTGATCGAGAATGGCTTTGCCTTGGTGGTGTTTTAGATTTTGCTTTGGGACACGGTGAAGTGGACCCTGAGTGACTTTCTCTTGGTGGTGTTTTAGATTTTACTTTGGTATCAGGTGAAGAGGACCGAGAATGGCTCTGGCTTGGGGGTGTTCTAGACTTCACCTTGGGGCAGGGAGATCTTGACTTGCTTTGCCTTGGTGGTGTTCTAGAAGTCACTCTAGTAGGACTTGGAGAAGACGACGCAGAACGGCTATGCCTTGGTGGAGTTCTAGATTTCACACTGGGACGTGGGGAAGATCCAGACCTGCTACGTCTTGGAGACATCCTAGATTTAACCTTCAGATGGGGAGAAGAACCAGAACGACTACGTCTTGATGGAGTCCTAGATTTTACATCAGGTCCAGGAAAAGAACCAGAACGGCTGCGTCTTGGAGTTCTTGCTTCCCCCTTGGCATGAGGTGAAGACCCAGATCTGCTTCGCCTTGGGGGTGTTCTAGATCTTGCATTTGTCACAGGACTTGATCCAGAATTCTGTTTGGGTGGAGTTCCAGATTTTCCTTTGGGGAGTGGAGAAGAACCGGATCGGCTTCGTCGTGTTGGTGTTCTAGATTTCCTCTTTGGACATGGAGAAGATCCAGAACGACTTCGCCGTGGTGGAGTTCTCGATTTCTGCTTTGGGGGTGATGATCCAGATCGACTTCGCCGGGATGGGGTCCTTGATTTAACTTGAGGACGTGGAGAAGAACCAGACCTACTTCGCCTAGGAGGAGTTCGAGACTTTGCTTTGGGGCGGGGAGATGATCCTGACCGACTTCGTCTGGGTGGTGTCCTAGATTTAAGTTTAGGACGTGGAGAAGATCCAGAGCGGCTTCGCCTCAAGGATAGGTGAGATTTTGCTTTGGGCCTTGGTGAAGAAAGAGAACGGCTACGCCTCAAGGAAACACGAGACTTTTTCATTTCTGGACTGGAGTTAGATCTGCTTCTTCTCTGGGATGTTCTTGACTTGTTTTTCCGTTCTGATGATGAGCCAGAACGGCCCCTCCTTTGTGGCGTCCTAGAATGAGATCTTCCACGTCGGACTGGGGTTCTAGTACGAGATCTCCCTCGTCTGGCTGGGGTTCTGGAACGAGATCTCCCTCGTCTTGCTGGCGTCCTGGAACGGGATCTACCACGCCTGGCAGGGGTCCTTGAACGGGACCTGCCACCCCGTCTAGCTGGGGTCCTAGAACGAGACCTTCCACCTCGTCTAGCTGGTGTTCTGGAACGGGACCTGCCACCTCGCCTGGCTGGTGACCTGGTGCGAGATCTCCGTCGTACTGGTGATCTGGTACGAGACCTTCGTCTAGCAGGTGTTCTGGAACGAGACCTACCACGACGGGCTGGAGTCCTAGAGCGAGACCTCCGTCTGGCAGGTGTCCTGGAGCGAGACCTCCGTCTGGCAGGTGTCCTGGAGCGAGATCTACCCCTCCGAGCTGGTGTTCTAGATCGAGATCTTCCCCGGGTAGCTGGGGATCTAGAGCGTGATCTGCCTCGCCTTGCTGCTGACCTAGATCTTCCTCGCCTCTGAGCATTCCTACTTCTAGACCAGCCAGGCCGTTGAGGAGACCTGGAGCGGCCACGCCTCTGGGGACTTCTAGATCGCCCCCATCGCTGTGGAGACCGTGACCTACGCCATTGTGGGGTCCTGGATCGAGAACGGCCCCTCTTGTTAGGGGTCCGGGACCGTGATCGTCCCCTTCGAGTGGTGGCAGGGCTGCGAGACCTTCCCACCCTACGGGTGGGACTGTGAGATCTTGATTTGTCCCGCTTTGCACGTCCCCGTGAACGGCTGCTCTTGGTTGTGGGGGAAGGAGAAAGCTCCCGGCGAGGAGCAGGAGCTGGTGCAGGTTTGGGGGGACTTTCAGGTGAGGAACTGCCATGTCGGGGAGCTTTGGCTGGTTGAGGAGATGCTGGGCAGCTTTCTGAGGAAGAGGACCTGGTAGGTTTCTCTGGAGACTTAGGGGGTGAGTGACCGCGGGATGGGGAGGGTTCAGCTGAGGGCTTCACTGGCTCCTGACTCTGGGGAGTTGCTGTAGGGGGTTCCGGGGAACTGCGATTTCGCTCAGCAAGGAGCGGGGTAGGGGCAGGTTGATCTAGGCCTGTGTTGCTCCTCTCCGGGGAGGGGCTAGTTCGGGTCGCAGATTTCTGGGATTAGAAGAAAAAGTAAGGATGGGAATGCATAAACACCATAATTTCAGAACATGCTTTCCAAAGAAACTTTTTTTCCCAACTGTCCTAAGTGCCCTTAACTAGCCACTTCTCTCCTATAAGTTATAACCTTATATTTGCATAGAATATGAAGATACAAGTACATACTTTTATTCAATCTTACCTCATTAGCTCTTACTTCTCAATTCCATTAGATCCTGATCCCCCTAATAATTTTCATCCCACATGCCCACTGCAAACCTCAAGAATTCAAAGTCTCTCATTTCCTGCAATTGTTCCTATATTTCCTAAATCCTAGAACTTCAATGATAATTCCATTTAGGGACTCACCTCCCTCTTGTCTTTTTCTTTTTCCTTATCTTTGTCCTCATGAGGACTGCTGGACCGTTGGGTAGGAGGCGGCAGCTCAGGGCTATGGGTCCGCTCTGTGCTGATAGCTGCAGATTCCCTGGGTGGAGCATCTCCCTCTCCATGACGACGTGTAGCAGGAGAGGAGCTGCGATGAGTCAAGGTGGTTGTACGGGGTTTAGCTGCAGCACTTCTAGACCTATATAAGGAATTTGGGGAAGGGGAGAAAATGGAGAAATCAGCTAGTGGGAGAAGAGAAGGCCCCCTCCCCATCTCCCTCTTCATCTACCCATACTTTTTTGACCATATTACCTATTTTCTCAAGTTTTCTCCTAATCTTTTCATTGTTCTAATCAGAAGATTCAAACTATATTCAAACTGAAAATCAATTCTTCCCTGGCTTATACCAACTCCTCTGTTTCCCAATACAATCCCTCCCTTGGACCCTTTATTTAACCCACCCAGACCATACCCACCACCTGGGGATGGCTTCCCCATGCCCTCCACCCATTCCACGCCCTACCCCCCAACTCATTTCACAACTCACCTCAGAGCCCACCTCCTCCAGGAAGCCTTCCCTGTTTAAGCAGGCCAGGGTAAGGATTCCTTCCTCCCCCAGGGAACTGCTGACAAACCACCACCCCCCCTAGCCTGGCAGTCCATATACATCAGAACAAAACAAAAAAAATAACAAAATGAAAACAACAAAAAGAGAAGGGGATATGTATATGTCTGTCCATCCTGTCGCTTTAGCCTGTCAGCTCCTAGAGGGCAGGGACCGTGTCTTCGGAATGCTCTGTGCAGCGCCTAGCACACCGTGGGCGCTCAATAAATATTAAATTAATTAACCCATTAGACCCATTCCCTCCCTTCCTCTTGGACCACCCCTTACCGACTACGGGAGGTGTCAGATGATGAGGCGGAGTCAGCTGACGTTGAACGATGACCCCGGCGGCTCTTTGGAGCAGGTGATGCACTTCGAGACCTGAAAGAGAAGGGAATATGAGGACCAAGAATGCTGATGTTTCCTACATATGGTATCTTGGCTTTGGACCTCTCAAATGAAGTGTCCTGCTTCCACCAACACCACCCACGAGTCAGGTGTCATTATTTTTTTTCCCCTCAAGCATAAGCACGTAGATAATCCTAACTACAGTTTTCCCCAGACTCCCTTTCCTCTCTATTCACAATCAACTCACCGTTTCCGTTTCTTGTCCTTAGATTTGCGTTTGCTCTTTGGAGTAGGCGATCTGAGAATACAAACAAAGAATTAAAAAGAAAGCAAAAAAAATAAATACTAGACAGAAACCACAAACAGTTTACTGACAGTCTGGAGATTCAAAGGAGCTAAAGGGCTCCACTGAAAGACACCTAAAGAGTATAGGACAAAAAAAGAATAAAGCCCATGTCACCAGTTACCCCAACAAGAAAAGGTGAGCTCTCACCTATGCTTCCGTTTCTTGGACTCAGACTCTGACCTTTAAGTAGAAACATAAAAATTAACATCTGTTTCCCAAGGTTTTTCATGGCCCCCAATCATGTCAAATGCCCAGCCTCATACCTGTGTTTCTTCTTCTTTGAACTCTTTTTCCTCTCCCTTCGAGGAGAGCTACTCTCTGACCTGCTAAAGATGTATTCAGAAGCAAAGTCACTGGATGGGTCACAACTTCAATATTCTGCCATGATCCACCTTCCCCATTCACACTGCCCCTAAAGACACCCTTCCAATAATCCCTGGTTTACTTGTACGTTCTAATTCTCAAAGGGACAAAAAACAAAAAGAAACCCCCTAAATACTTCATAAATAAATACTAAATGAGTATGAACAGGTCTCTGATATCCTATCTATTAGCTCTAGCTGGAAAAAGCTCCATTTTGATCACCTTCATTCATAAAAACATCCCCACTTCAGTCCCAACTTTATGAAAGAAACCCAAATACTTTGTTTTCTGGTTCAGCTTATAAAGACTAAACCTGACACCACAAAACATCTCATCCCTAGAGCTCAGGGTCATTGATAACCACACCCAATTCCACAGCACAAGAATAAGCTGTCCCTGACTATCCCTAAAAAGTCACCTTCCTCAACATAACTTACCGGCCTCTGTCTTTCTTCTTTTTCTTCTTCTTTTGTTTTGGGGTAGGAGATCGTGAGCTACTAGACTCCCGAACAAGACTAGAAAATAGAAGAAGGTGAAATTGTTAACAACAGCAGTTGCCTAGGACACTTGAATCTCAGGAGAAAAATAGGCTCCTAGACCAAAATACAAGGATTTCAGAATATTCTCAAGCAAAACTAGGGTAGAATACCTGGGCTTCGAGAAAAAGAGACAGACAGAAATGTAGTCTAACATATGAACATCTGTATTCTCTCAGTACCTGTAAGGTTTAGGAGGTTCTGGAGCTGGCTGCTTGGCCTCTCGAGCCCGACGCTGAGGGTCGAAGGAACTACCATCAACATAGGAGTCACTGATACCAAAGGCAGCACGGAGCCGCTCATTCTTTTTCTCATTTAACTCTGCCAGCTGGTGAGTCTCAGTTACTCTGCAGAGAAAGAGAATCAAGGTCAAAGGTTGGACTGAGGCAACGCTGGGACTGGGAGCCTGGGGAGGTTGGGAACAGAGGGCAAAGAAAGAAAAAGCACCACAATGTATGCAAAGTAGATCTAGAAAAAGACAGACACAGCCAAAGAAAGACTATAAAGAAAAAGAGAAAAAATAAAGCACTCTTACAATACCTACAACGGGTAATACCACAGACAAGAGCTTAGCAGGTATAGGAAGCAGGACCAGTAGAAGACACTAGAAGAATAGAGTGGAGCGCAAGAGAAGCCAAGTTTGGAGACAGAGATGAAGATAGGCACAGAAGTGTAATGGCTGAAGAGACCACAAGAGGGACAAAACACTCACACAGGCCTCTGCCCTGGGGTCTCCTCCTTGCCCCCAGGGTTCACGTCTTTTTCCAGCAACATGAGTCGGAAGGTCGCCACTTTCTCTTGGATCTGTTGTTCCTCGTACCTGCAGCACAAACTCCCCTGATTAGAAGTTGACAAGACATCTTCCCTTGGTCCTATACAATAACCCCTTTGTCTTCCAACAGAGTCTGAGTTCACCTCATACACACATCTTTTCCTCTCCACACACACAAATCTTTCACTCTTCGCCACCCAAAGGACCCTGCCCCCCCCAATCTTCCATCTAACCATACTCTCCCTCTAAGTTTCTCAATATGTATGTGCTCCCTCCCTTGATATCTACATTTTCCTTTCACTGCCCAATTTCAAATTCTATCTATTCTGTCCCTCTCTTCCCTTCACATTGTCCTGTCAGTGCTCCATTTAACCCCAGTCCCCTTTACTTTATTTTTCCTAGATCTCTCCTAACTTTGTAGCTATCCCTAAGATATGTTCCAATTCCTACCCCAACCCTATCCACATTCCTATACTGCTTTATCTAAAGCAACACCTGCCTCTCCTATACTCGTGCTATATTTTATCCCCTAATGCCCTCTGTCCCCCACAAACTCTTCCTAATAATCAATTTAAAAACTTCTCAGTTCCCCATTCTATTATCTTCCCTCTGGCTCTCAATACTCCATAATACCACAACTCTTCCATCTTATTCCCAACTTGTCACTTAACTCTTCCCAGTCCTTGCTCTCTTTTCTACTTATTTCCCCAACTCCTCCTTACATCCTTTTCAACCAATTCTAAGTCTCCTGCATTCCACTTCAATCTCACTCCCAGCTCCCTCCTGCTCTTCAATCACTCAGCCCTTAGCTCTCCCCCAGCCCTCCCCTCACCCCTGCTCTTCCATCATCTCTTCCAGCTCGAGGCATCGCAGCTCGACGCGCCGCTTGCGCTCGTGGTCCAGGATGTCAGGGTTAGGCCGCTTCACCAGGGCAGCCTCCAGGCGCCGCAGTTCTTCCTCGCCCTTGTAGTCAGGCCGCTCGCCCCTCCGACCCCGCACCAGGGACAGGTTGCGCTGGACGTAGCCGTTGGTGCCGCTGCCCCGGGGCGTCGGCAGCCCGATCCCGTTGTACATGGCCCCGTGCCCAGGGGGCACCGCCGCTCCTGAAGGCGAGCGGGGAGACACGGGTCAGGCCCCTGACCCCACACTAACCACCACCCACCAAAGTCCCTGTTTCTCTTTCATCCCTATTGTTTCTTTCTATTAATATCCATACAAGAACCTCACCACCTCCAACGCTTCTATACTTCCTCTACTCTCATCATTTGCCTTTTTTCCAGAACAGCCTTTCCTTTGCCTTTCTTGCACTATTCCTATTCCCCAAGCTTCCATTCTACTAAGACAGCCTCCCCTAACCCCCCCATTCCAATGAACCTGATCCCTTCCAGTCTTCCCATTTCTATCCTATTCCCCCACATGCCAACAGGTACTCATATTCTTCTAATCTTATCAGTCTTTGTAGCTGCCTCTGGTCTCAGTACCCACAACCAACACTAACTCCAAACCTTTGGCAGCTGACAGTGGCCTCCAGAAGAGGGCACCACATACACAAGGCATAAATTTCAGAGGCACAAAAAACTTCCCACCCCCAAGTCACCAAGGGCCCTTCAAAAATGTAAGCTGAGGCCTGAAGAGGGATTCAGTACAACAGCATAAAGTTATCTTGTAAGAGGCTCAAGGTTCTAGAAGATCAGGTATATGAAACCATAACTAAACCATTACTGGGATAAACTGAAATGCTCTGTGTAGTCCCAGATAAGAACTAAAGCTCCACACTCACATGAAATATAGTACTGGAATAGGTATTGCTCTTTCAGAAAAGATCACCCCTCTCACCACCCACCACTTTCACATTTCTAGCCTTATACTGCCTCCCAGTGTAAAATCATATTCCTAAACCAAATACTTGCAATTTCTTACTCAACTTACTCAATTTCTTACTTAACTTTCTTCACATGGAATCCTACCTATGACTTAGAAAAACATATCCCCACTCCCCCCCACAAAAAATTCCCCCCCAATACCAATTACTTTAATTTCTCTTCTACCTTTTCTGCATTCCTGTTTCATCGCTTCTTTATCAATAAGTCTTTTTTTCCTATACATTCATTCCCTTAAAATATCCCCAGTTTTTCCTATTCCTGGCTTTCAAGAGTATTTTAATCTTATAATTACCTAACTCTATCTCTTACTCCCCTCAAACTTGTGACCTATCATACTGTTCTTTCCCTAGCATGACCTTCCTCCTACCACATTTCCCTGTCACATGCCCCTCCCTTAAATTGTTTTCCTGTATACCCTGTTCCTTCCTCCCACCTTTCCAAAATGTCCTAAAGAGAGAAGATAAAGAAGAAAAATCCTAAGTGGAAAACTAAGATATAGCCTTAAGTAGAGAGGAAAAAGTGAGAAGACTAGGGTAGAAGCAAGGAAACTAAATAAGCAGAACTGTAGATAATATATGCTAGAATAGCAGACAGGGAAAAGCTAGAAAGAGGTAAAGGATAGTATGTATGAAAGAGATTTCAAGAGAAAGGACCTTGTCCAAGAACTATATTTGCTCTGAAAAAACGGTCTAGTAGAAGGGCCTGGGTTTTTCTTGCCCCCACAGGCCTTAGGGAAAAGGACAAAAAGTAAAAGAGGATGATAAAACCAGAGCAAAGAAAAAAGGAGGAGCAAGCAAGGGGAGAAGCAAGGCAAGTGAAAACAGAAGAAAAGGAACAGGAAAACTAAGTGAAAGGTTTCCCCAGTAGTCCAGAATCTCACCCTGTCATCTTCTTATCCTCAAAATCCCAAACCCTCTTTTCCCCTTTTACTCTCACTTCTCTCCCAAGGTCCTGGAGTTCTGTTCTCAAAATGTTCAACCTATTCACTCACCCACACTTCCATACCACTTCACCCAAACTCCCTTCCATTCCCCTAGAGAGGGAAAACCAAGTGACTTCGTTTCAAGAAATAGTGGAGGAGAATCACTAGGAAAGGGAAAACTGTAAAAGGGAAGCCCGGGGGGGGGGGGGGAAGCATCCAAAACAGTGCTCAGGAAAGGGTAGGAGGGTGTAAGAAAAGACTATAGGGTTAGGGGCAGTGGGAGTGTGAGAGGAGAAGTGACATAGAGAGAACATTATTATGAATCTAAAAGCTTTAGGAATTGTGGAGGGCCTTGATGCAAAAAAGGTAGAAAGGAGTCACTGGAGGAAATCTCTCAAAGGAGCCACAGGAAAAAAAGTAGAAGCCAGTAATACAAGATAACAATAAAGGACTAAGAGAAAGGGATCTACAAGTAAAGGACTAACAGGGGAAAGAAGATATTATCAGAATACATGAAGAGGGCCTGGGAAAAGGACATATGAATTAGCTTTAGAGCTAGAGAAAACCTGTTCAAGTTGGAAAAAAAAAATCTTATTTCTGACTGATCAGAAGAGCAATATAAAATGGCACTAGATGATTATACTGAAGAGTAGTAACTCAGCAAAGTAACTGCATGTAATGAAAGGGAATCTGCAAAGAATCATGTTAGAGAGGAACCTCTGAGTTCATCTAATCCACCTCCTCATTTTATAGATGCAGAAAACTGAGATGGACAGAGAAGTGACTTGCTCAAGGTCACACGAGTCACAAGAACCCAGGTTTCCCAACTCCCCATTCAGTGGTCTCCCCTGTCATTCCTATTCTCAGGTAGATACTGATTCAGGAAGACATCAGACTGTGAGCTCCTTGAGGGCAGGGACTGTTTTACCTCCTTCTGTACCCCCAGAGTTTACTGGCACATAGCCACTTTATAGCAAAAAAAAAAAAGTAGGAAGAGATGTAATCGTCACACATAGCCATACTGAATACATGTTTTTGTCTGCCTCCTTTTTGGCATTTGTAGCACTTTAAGGCTTTCTAGCTCAAATTTTAAAAAAAGCTTTGGAGTACCCAGTACAAAAGGCTATCAATACACATTTTTGGCAGTTATGTGGGGAAAGGAAAGAAACCCTCTAAAATGGCAGATGAAGAGGTAAAATAGGTTTGGGAAATATTGGTAAGATCACTGGAATTGCATAAGATCAGGGACCTATGTAACAAACATAACGGGTAGAAAAGGGAGCAGCAAGAGTCGAGGAACCCTGGGAAAGGGAAGACGACATGCAAGTAGGTAGAGTGGGAGGGGGTCAAGGGCCTAAGGGGAGACCGAAGGGTATACAATCCATGGTGGATGAAGGAGCCAAGAAGTAAAAATAAGCAGAGAGGAAAGCGACAGAGTTGGCCTACTATAGAGTAACCCGGCTCCCCCACCGGAAGGTGCAGGCGAACAGGAATTTTTTCCTTTTGGAAGGGAAGGGTTTGGCCACAGGTCGAGTCACAGGCATACAGTTCTCCAGTTCTCCACAACTGGCACGTGGATCGGGAAAGGGGGGTTAGTTACAGAAGCGCGCACCCTTCCCTCGAGTCTCAGTCACCCCCCCCATATCCCCTCCCCCGCGCGCGCGAGACCGCGTTCGGTTGGCGACGCGCGCCGCAGCCGAGAGGGAGGGGGTGAGGGGAAGAGGAGTACGCGCACCAGGGTCGGCTACGAGGAAAGGTGGAAGTGAGAAGGAGATAGAAGGGTACTGAAAAAGAGTAGGAAAGGAATAAGCGCGAGCGCGAGGCAGCGAACGCGCGCGCGCGTGTGCGGCCTGGTCGGTTCTCCGCGCGCCTGGCCTCGCGCCGGGGCCACCGCGCGGCCGCCCCTCCCCCCACCGCCCGGCTCTCTCTCACCCGCTCACCCGCCGCCGACGACTCCTCCTCCGCCTCCACCCGTCAGGTCGGGGAGGGGGGGAATTCTTCCGCGACTGCTTTGTGGGGTCCTGAGTCCTCCGGGGTCTGGAGTCCCTGCCTCGCCTTGCCTCTTCTTCTGCCTTACCACAGCCGCCACCGCCTCCTCGCTTCCTCGGGGGCCGCAGCGGGCTCCGACTGCGCCACTCGCACCCCGCCTGGGCCGCGCTGCACGTCAGCACGACTAACAGAGGACGTCAGCACGCACGCACGTCGCGGGGATCGCCGGGAAGCGTAGTGTCGGAGGCCCTCTTTCCACGCTCTTTACACTAGTTCTCCGCGCAGTCGCAAGCCTCCAGTCTTTTTTCTTTATTTACCCCACACACCCCCACCCCCACAAACTTTCGCATCGCGATGCCTTGAGGGAAGTGTAGTCCCGTGAGCGTGTACGTCTGCTTAATACCGCCAGGAACTCACTGCGACTCCCGTCGTGCACTACGGGTTGGGAGGTGCGGGGAGTAAGGAAAGCAGCGGAAATGTATTCTGGAGGCTGGCCACTGGGGGGAAAGGGAGTATTGTATTAACGCCACATCAATAGAATGCCCATAAGGCATTGAGAAGGCCTAAACCACAGTTCCTCTATCCCGAAGGGAATTTTGGGAGTCGTAGTTTCAGAGGGGAGAGGAAACGTGTGTTAGCATCACCCCAGGAGTAGGGGACTAGGGGGGATGGGCTTGCCATTTTGTTTGTCGCCATCTTGAGAGGCGATGGCCTGACTCTCATCGACCCTTACCCATAATTCACTTGGGTGAAATGTTCATGGCAATGGTCTACACATATATCCAGGGTGTACTTGATGAAAATAATAGAGAACAGGCAGACTTAATACATGATTTTCTACAGCAGTCCACATAATTAGGGAAGTGTCCCACTGGCCCATAGAGGTTAGATAATCACAGCCCCCAGCAGCTCACCCCCAATAGTTATTATTATATAGTATATTATTCAGGTAGCCTAGTGCAGTACATAAAATCCTCACTTTAACACTTATTCCCTGTGAGACCTTGAGAAAGTTACTTCTAGTCTGAGCCTCATTTCCTATATTCCCCAATAGTTACTATTATATAGTATATTATTCAGGTATCCTAGTGCAGTACATAAAATCCTCACTTTAACACTTATTCCCTGTGTGACCTTGAGAGAGTTACTTCTAGTCTGAGCCTCATTTCCTAATATATAAAAGGAGAGTGATAATGCCTTCAGGCTCCCACTAAAGTCCTATTTTATGCCACATCAAACATCATCCTGGGTTCTCAAAGTCACAAAGAGCACAGTCTGGCAGGTCCCAGTAAAGTACAAAAACTTTGAATAAAGTAGAAGTGAGTATTGTCTGCAGGCCAGCCTAGCTGCCTTCACAAGCACCTGTCACCTGCAAACTGATGAATTTTTTGGACATGGGAACTCTGGAAATCCATCTCTTGAATTTATGAAAGGTTATGATCTGCTTTGATGGAATGACTATCTACATAAAATTGAGGATCCTTGATATTCATCAATCAACAAGTATTAAGCACCTACTACATGCATCAAAGGGCCATTGAGAGAAATCTTAAAGTGATATAGAAATGTGAATTGTCATCATTTCACACAGAAGAAAAACATAATGGAAGTGCTACAGTTACATAAGGGTCAGTTTTTAAACATACCTCAAAGAAAGAAGTAATGGAAAAGACCAGGGATTGTATCATTACCAGAAAAGATGATCGAGACACATTAGCAGCTATTCAATTCAACAGATATTTATTAGATGCCTACTATGTGCAAGGTACTACCCTAGGTGCTGAGAATACAAGGACAAAAATGACATTGCTTTCTCATCTCTATAAAATCTTTATGAGATTGATCTATGCTCAGTTAGAGGGTGTCCTTAAAAATAGAAGGGAACAAAGAAGCTCTCTTGAACAATTTTACACAGTAGATTTCATCTGCACAGTCACGAAATTGACTGAAAGGTGCAGAGAATTCAAGATCCCACTTTGTCTATTGTTGATTCAAAAAAGCACAGATTCAGTTTTCTAACAAGGTGTGCCGCTAGCATGTGTTAAGATCATATGATTCCTGGACAAATCCCATCTCTAAATATTAATATCAAGCAAGTTCACCAAAATGTGTTTTCTACTAGGAGGATTGTACACTAGGAGAATGTAAGGAGATTTTGTACAGAGTATAGAAGAGGTATTCCCTATAGTTGGTGAACTCCTCCAGATGCACCTGCATGCAGATCGAATTGTGCTGGAATGGATGGTATTTGAGTTGGCCTTTAAAACATAGGTAGGATGTTAAAGGTGAAGAAGTAGAAAGAAGGTATTCCAAGTAGGGGAGCAAAAGTGTTGTAAAGGAGAGAAAGAATATCCAGTTTGAAGTGAAGTAAGATTATAGAGAACTGATAGGATATGAGTTGGAAGGGAACTTATAAGCATTTTAATCTATCCTCCTTCCCGATTTTGCATATGGAGAAACTAAGACCTAAAGAGATTAAGTGACTTGTCCAAGGTCACAAAGTTATTAAATGGCAAAACCAGGTTTCAAATTCAGTTTCCTAACTCCAAATCCATCCACCATGTTCTCACACTATATAAGACTGAAAAGGTAGTGTCACCAGATTTAATGACAGGCAAATAAGTTTAAACTTGATCATAATCAATAGAAAGCTTCTGAAAATTCATTTTCACAGTGTATTTAGGTTTACAGTACACTTTGCTCACAAAAAAATCCTGTGAGGCAGTTGATACATATATAATTACCCCCATTTGACAGATAAGGAAACTGAGGCTCAGAGGCCTAAATTACTTTAAATATTCACATAGCTAGTAAGTAGTAATAGTTTGATACAAATCCAAGGCTTCTGACAGGCACTTTTCTGGACTATGGGGTCCTTGAGACCAGGAATTGTGCCTTAAATTTACCTCTGCAGAGCACCCTGTACTTATTACAGTACCCTCTACTTGATAGGGCTTAATAAATGTTTGTTGAATTGAAAGTTCAACTGAGAATTAGAAAGTCTTCAGGGATGTATCCTAATCATAAACTCAAAAATACCTCGCCAAGGTCCTGACCCTTGAACTAATTATACCCCATGATATCCTTTTCATACAAAGGATTTATCACAAAAGACATACTCAGTAGGCAGCATCATAAAATATTATTGTACCTTAATAATAACACATAACTAGGTTATAACTTCCTAAAATACTTCAAGAACTGTGATTTCATCTGTGTGAGGAGTCCCTTGACCAACCCTTTATTCCTTGAGTGGCTACTAGAGGGATGAGTTGATTTTGTTAGTTGGAGATGGTCATTCTAATTAATTAATCAACAAGCATTTATTGAAATTGCATCAGCCTTCAATTCAACACCTCAAGAGTACCCTCAGTACCCTCTGCTCCTCTAACTGGAGGGCTGGAAGGCAGAGCAAATAGCTCTTCCCAAAGCCTCCATTTAAAGAGGGCTCCCCATTGTCTGAATCTTACTCTCATCAGATTTGGCTCAAAGAGGAAATAACATAATCAATTAGGTATAGAAATCTAACTTACCCTATAGGAAGTAGGAGGGAAAAGGGGAAAGAAAAGGGAGAGGGTGGATAGAAGGGAGGGCAAACTGAGGGAGGTGGTGGTCAAAAGCAAAACTTTAGTGAGGAGGGAAAGGGAGAAAGGAGAGAGAAAAGCATAAATAGGGGAAATAGGATGGAGAGAAATACACAGATAGTAATCATAACTGTGAATGTGAATGGGATGAATTCTCCCACAAAATGGAAGCAGACAGCAGAGTGGATTAATAACCATAATCCTACAATATGTTGTTTAAAAACCTGGAGAGAGCCGAACCAAGAGAACATTGTACACAGTAACAGCCACATTGTGTGATGACTGACCTTGATAGACTTAGCCCTTCTCATCAATGCAAGGATCTTAGAAAACTCAAAAGACTCATGATAGAAAATGCTATCCACATCCAGAGAAAGAACTTTGGAGTCTGAATGCAGATGGAAGCATACTATTTGCTCTCCTTTTCTTTTCTTGTTTTGTTTTGTTTCTTCTTTCTTGTGGTTCTTTCCATTAGTTCTAATTCTTCTTTACATCATGACTATTGTGAAAATATGTTTAATCTGAATGTATAAGTAGAGGCTATATTAGATTGCATGCCATCTTAGGGAGGGGGGAGGAGAGGGAGAAGGAGAAAATTTTAAACTCAAAATCTTATGGAAGAGAATGTTGAAAACTAAAAATAAATTAATTAATTATAAAAAAAAATTAAAGAGGGTTCCCAAGCCAGCCATCTCTTCATTTCCCACCAGCTGCACTCCTTTGGACTGAACTCCATTATGTCCCCACCTACTTTCCCACTCCCTCTTTTCAGCCTCCTTTTATGTGTTGCCTTCCTCCATTAGGCCATTAAGTTCCTTAAGGGTAAGAACTGTCTTTCCTTCTTTTTTGCCTGATATGTAGTAGGCACCTAATAAATATTTATCGACTGACTGACTAACTGATTGCCAAGCAAGTTCCAGGCACTGTCCTAGATGCTAAAGATACAAAAACAAAAGAGAACAGGTCCCTGCCCTTAGGATGTTTATACTGAAGGAAGAGAGAACTACATAGACATAAAGAAAATGCAAGACGTGTTCAAATGGTTGTGAGAAAAGCTATTTGGCTGAACTAAGGAGTCTTAGGAAGTAGTGGGAAATCAAGTTATTAAGGGTAGATGGAGTACTTTATAGGAGCTTGAACTTTGGGTAATTGACACCTTATGCCTCATCCTTAATACTAGTTTACCACCCTTCCCTGGGGTTACCTCTCAAATCCCACACTTTCAGGTTGGGTGTCCAGAGAGATAACTACTCTAGAGGTTCAAGGTATTCTATGAGTCTGTATTCCTCAAACTACAACTCACCATCCCCCACCAGTACACTTACCTTTAGTGGTCAACCAGTAGGTACCTTTAGCTCAAAGCAAAAGCATATCTTGAGATAGCATCAGAAGAACAATTGTAACAAAACATTCCCCCATAAACCAGGAGCTCAGTCTTCCACAACTACACATATTGTCAGTGGGAAGAGTGAGTACTCACGTAGAGTACCTCAGTAAAGACACAAACACCTAAGGAATACATGTGGCCCAGGTACCTCCAGTACTGCAGGGTTCTCATGACTTTTCCCTTTTAGAGTCTTCATACTGTTGCCCTGGGATGCAGCATCTCTCCTGAACAAGTCATTCATTCAGCTACCTCTTTGGGTCTGTTCCTGTCTGCAGTTCAGCCTTCCACAACTAGGTCTCATCCCTTTATCAATGCACAACTCGTACTCCTCAATGTTCTCTACTTTCAAGACTGTCTGGGCCTAGTCCTACTGGGTTCAATGTTTCCTACATTGAAGTTCAACTGTAGTTCTGATGCAAGACACCATAGCCAGTGGAGAAGAAGAGAATGAGAGAAATTCCCACCCTAAAGTGAGACCTAATTTCCTTTTTTTCCTTTTATAGCTATCTCTCTCCTCTATCGCCAGAGATGACACTCCTGAAAGCTGTCCATGCCTCAGATGAATCTCTAGGGAGTATAGCTTGCTTTTTAAAGGGCCATCAGGGGGCAATCCTTTGGCCAGTCAATGGCTAGCTGCCCTCTAATTCTATATTTGACTGAAGAACTTCACACCTCAGAAAGAGATAAGGAAGTGCAGACATGTCTTTGCCCTTCATTTAAAACATTGACACTTTGTTGTCTCTGTTACCTGTCCATCTATTCAATAATGTCATTAGCCAGTCTAGGGTAAAAAGCAATTGTTCAGAGGTCTTCTAATCAATTTTCTTCTCCATTTATCCCCCTACTATACTAGTAACCCTAACAAAGTATGTTAGAATACCCTGTGGGGCATCAACAACTTCTGCAGAGCTAGAGTTTGTTGGAAACTCTCTAAAAGAGTTATGCCATAATATATAATACTATAACATAATCTTATAGTAGATATATTTATATTATAGTATATATAGTTATAGTGTATATATGTACATACATACATATATATTATAATATATTGGCATTATATTGTTTGCTTGTGTCCCACAGGGAGGAGGTCAAGAATGGGAGGCGTTTGTTATCATTAGTGAGCTTATTAACAGGAAGTAAGGGCTTCCTGTTAATGAATTAAAAGGAAAAGCATTTAGTACTTACTATGTGCCAAAGGCTGTACTTAGTGCTAAGGACGAAAAAAGAAAATAACTTTCCGTCCCCTCTCAAAAAACTTACTTCCATTTGGTGGAGACAACACATAAAGGAGGGTCCAGCACAGGGAGGATGCAGAGGCTTGAAGATCCTCAGGGTTCAGTGGCAAGAGGAATGGATGTCAAGGCCCAGAAGTCCTTAGGATACATCAAGGTATATTATCAAACATTTGTATCAGCTTTTGGGCATCCTACAACCAGCCAGACTAACCATTTATTGGTCAGTTTCACAGAACCCCAGACTGTTGTGGTTTCATCACACCCCTTCTGTAGCACACACCCTATAATACCCCATAGGTGAATGTGATGGAAGCTTAAGATGTGTTCCTTTAATATACATGTGTATGTGTGTATGTATTTTCAGTGAAAAGGAAAGTGGTTTGTTATGTGTTCAAACAAGCAGAGATGATTGTCCATTTGGATGTTTATATTTTTGTGCCTTTGCCATCAGAGTCTACTAAGTGGTTAACCCTCTTTTTAACCCTGATAGGTTAAAAACTGTAAGATCATCAACAAATATTTATTCATATATAAAATAAGGAAGTTGAGCTAGTCTCTAAAGTCTTTTTCTAGATCTAAATCTTAAAATTCTATAATAATAATTGCTAGTAATTTACATTTCTTATCTCCTTTGATCCTCACAACAACCTGGTGAGGTGAGTGCTATTATTAACTCCATTTTACAGATGGGGAAACTGAGGCTGAGAGAGATTAAGTAGCTTGCCCAAAGTCACACAAATAGTAACTGGGGCAAGAATTTGAACTCAGGTCTTCCTGAATCCAAGTCTAGAACTCTATCTCCCTAGTTACATATGATTCTACTGGAACTTGTATTGCCCCTCCACATTAAGGAGGAAATATAGATAGGGACAGGGAAACCTAGTTTCCAGTTTCATGATCTTGGTTTTAAATATTCCAGAAGCACAAGTGTCAATCCACAGGGCCAATATTGTCATAATGATGGCAGTCAGATTGCCTGGGGGAACACTGTTCATTATTACTGACAGCATATATGTCCCTTCTGCATTCCTATACCACACTAGTGGAAGTAGCCTTCTTTGCTTGATTGAATAGCCAGTCTTTAAAGTTACCAGACTAAGGGGCAGCTAGGTGGTGCAGCGGATGGACCACCAGTCCTGAAGTCAGGAGGACATGAGTTCAAATCTGACCTCAGACCAAACACTTGACTCTAGCTATGTGACCCTGGGCAAGTCACTTAACCCTAATTGCCAAAAAAACTCCCAGAGTGAGACTCTTTTACTGGATACTCTTTCCTGCCATTTCCAGAGAGTAAAGATGACACACAGTTAACCCATAGCGCCTGCATCATGAACTGAAATAGAATGGGGATACTTTCTTCCTTTCTCTATTTTTACCCTGTAGCTCCAAAAAAAAAAAAAAAAATGGGCTTAGAGTGTTTCTGTTTTTGTTCTGTTTCCTTTGCCCTTTTCAGTTTCAGGTACTGGAGGTGATCCTCTCTGGACCAGGCGTTTGAGCTGCAGTGATCTAGGACTTAGGATTCCAGTCGGGATGTAACAACCAGCCATCCCAGCAGGGAAGCCCCAAGAAGCCAGGGTGCCTGGGACACCAGTCCAAGGGGGATTTTGGAGTTGAAAGTTGGGGACAATGCTCTATAGGAATAGAGTTAAGCTATGAATCTAGTCTCCTTCCTCTCCTCATAGACTGAGGCAGTATGAGCAGATGATTATGTCTCCTTCCTAGTATGGAGTATGTTTGTATATTTGTTTTCACAGCTTTGAAGTAAATGCTCCTTTGTAAAAGTTAATATGCTGTTAGTGGTTAAATGAAATTGGCATATACTTGAGGGAACACTATCAGCAGGGGCTGGAACCAATGACAGAGAGCGTAGATACCCCTTTAGGGATCTAGAGAACCCTGAGGGAGAAGTGAGATATAACCTCACTGTAACAACAATAAAGGCAATAAATGCTTCCTCAAGCAGTGGGGGCTAAAGGGAGTTAATATTATACTATTAAGGACCTGGGACCTTACATAGCACTTTGTTCTCTAACTCTGTAGTGTACTTAGTATATGATATATTGTAGTATAGCAGCTACCTCTGTCTTATCCCCTTCTTTTGACCAGGAGGCTGGATTTGAAAAAAAAAAAAATGCTGTCTAGGACATCCAGAATGCTACTTCCTCTATATAAGAGGCTGATGTTCAGAAGACTCTGTCCTTGAATTCCCTTCTCAGGCTTCATTCCATGCACTTCTGCCACTGCCAATGGTGGGTGGTTAGGAAGAAATCCCCCTCACCACACTTTTTCAAGAGCTGCAAGGCAAAAAGGTGAAGAGATAGTCCTCAAAAATTAGAGCTTCCTGAAAAGCTCAGTTCTTCCTTCAGAGCTAACTTCTAAAAGCTGACTTGAGTTCACTCTTCATGCTAACTGACTCAGTGTGGTCAATTTGCTCTTTAAAGGCCCAAAAGCATGATTGAACAGTTGCCCTCATCCAATGGCCAATGCCCTATTATGCTATCAAGTTGTTGAGAAAACTCCTTTATGTTCTGTTAAGGAATTGATTAAGAAAGCTCCCTCATTTGGTCAGGAACTGCTCTGATCCACCTCCTCTATATATGTACTATATATGCTATATATATGTATATGTGTGTGTACATAATGTGTTTTATATATATATATGTCATGTGTATATATTCAACATATCAATAGCATTTATTAAGTGCCTCTATTATACACAAGGTAAATATACTGGGCTTTAGTCTCCTTAACTACAAGCTCTATATCTATATGCTGAGGGGTTAGACTAAATAACTTCAAGATTCCTTCTAGTTTTTCATCTATATAGGGTCAACAGTCCATAGGCCAACCTGTACCTAAGCAGGAATCCTCTCTATAACATCTCCAACATTTAGCTTTCACATGAAGACCTTCGGTGATGGGTAACTCATTACCTTCTAAGGCAGTACTACTTTAAGACTATATTTACTTCTCCACAACTTCTACCTTTTGCTCCTATAAATTAAATAAATGAATAAAATAAAATGAAGTGATTGAACTAGCTGATCACCAAAGTACCCTCCAATCCTAAACCCTATAATTCTACTCCAGGCATGAGAATTCCTAAAGACATGAACTCTATACCAAAAGGAATGAAGTCTATGCAAAAATAAAGAGATCCCTAAGTCCTAAATAACCCTGCCCAACCCACTAATTTAGCCCACTTCCTCTTCAGAATCCCAGGGAAAGTCTGTATTCTTTTTGTACATCCTCACAGCTTCTATGCCAAGTTCCAGATTGAGTTTTTAGTCTAAACCTTTCACCAGCACCCTCATTTACCCCCTTGCAAAGAATATTTCTTTTGCAAAACCATTTTAAACCTCATATTTTTCTCTGTAAAGAAAAAAAAACAAGGTAAGTTGATTTTTTCCTAAAGTAGCCATTGATTGGGAGCAGTTGCCGATTGCCCATATTGGGGGAGGGGGAGAATAGCAAAAAGGCTCCTCATCTCTTGTTTTAGGGGATATTTACAAGATATTCAGGCTTGAAGAATTAGACCTAAAAGGACTAGAAAATACAGGAGAATTAGTTTTCTCTTGGTCAGGATTGCTCTTATTCTGCATATCTCAAGTTAGAGCTAAGTCTTAGAAACTGATTTAAGATAATTCTAAATGGTTTGCTGATTTGCAGAAAGAAATGGGTAGATTCAAGCATATGGGCCAAAAGCTATACAATGTGGAAAGAAGCATTGGGCCTACCTTAGTAGGTTACGTGCAGTTTAACCTTAGATGTTATGTGCAGAAGATCTACAGGATGGTGTCAAAACTAACCACCTCCCAAGGAGAAGAACTATGCAAAGCTCTCTCTTACTTATTTACACTCTTATTATATTATTATTATTATGCTCTTATATGTTATATATTATGATATTCTATATTAGTGATTAGTGATATATAATATATAACATATATTAGTGATTAGTTATATATTATGATATTATATAATATATAGTAAATATATAGTATAATATATTATTATACTCTTATTATATTTTACTCATATATTATTATACTTACATATACTCTTTCTTATTTATACAAGTCTGTCCTACTTTAAGAAACCCTCATGTAATAATCACTCAAACAAATATTTATTAAGTACCTACAATATTCCAGTCTCTGTAATAAATGAACAAAAGTAAAGCAGTTCCTACCCTCATAGGAGCTTATATTCTATTGGGGAAGTAACATACCCACATAACTAATTACAAATTATAGAATAGGAAATGGAGCTGATTAGCGTAGGAACTCTTTCTACTAATGCAGATTGGACCTTCTCTGCAATTTATAATCTCAGAGAGTTGTGTAGAGCACTGAGAGGTTTCATGATTGGCCAAGATCACACAACCACTAAGTATCAGAGGCCAGGACTTGAACTCAGGCCTTCTTGACTCCCAAGTCAGCTTTCTATCCCCTGTGCCACATGAATACAAGTCAAAGTATGTATATGTATGCATGCATGTGTGTATGTATATACACACATACATGCCTACACACATGTGTGTATATGTATATACATACCTATATACACACATATATGTATATGCATATACATATATATATATGTTTATACGATGAATTCAAAGTAATTTGAGGTGGCTCAACTAGCTTTGAAGATTAGGAAAGTCCTTGTTGAAGAGATGCCACATAAGCTGAGATTTAAAGGGAGTTAGAGAATCTAAAATGCAAAAGTGAGGAGGGAGTATATTCCAGGCATGGAGTGGAAGCCTATGCAAAGGCACAATGGCAAGAGATGGAATGTTGGGGGCAGCTAGGTGGCGCAGTGGATAGAGTTCTGGCCTTGGAGTCAGGAGGACCTGAGTTCAAATCCAGCCTCAGACATTTACTAGCTGTGTGACCCTGGGCAAGTCACTTAACCCTGATTGCCTCACCTTAAAAAAAAAAAAGAGAGAGAGACAGAAAAAAGAGATGGAATGTTGCATATAAAAATCAACAAGAAGGCTAGTTTGGCTGGAATGTAGAGTTTGTGACAGACTGACAGGTAACAAGCCAGGAAAGGGAAACCACAGTTAGGTTGTGAAGGGTTTTAAATGTCAAAGGGAGGCGTTGATCTTGTGTTGTTGTTTTAGGTTAGGCAATTGGGGTTAAGTGACTTGCCCAGGGTCCCACAGCTAGTAAGTGTCAAGTGCCTGAAGCTGGATTTGAACTCAGGTCCTTCTGACTCCAGGGCCAGTGCTCTATCCACTGTGCCCCCCAGCTGCCCCTTTGCTTTGTTTGTTTGTTTGTTGTTGTTGTTGTTGTTTTTGAGAGGAGTTGATATTTTATCCTGGGGTAACAGGTAACAATTGGAGCTCCTGAGCAGGGGAATCACATGATCAAACTTATGCTTTCAGAATATCACATTGGCAGCTATGTGGAGGATGGTTGGGAGAGGGGAAAGACTTGAGGCATGGAGATCAACAAGACTATTGCAATTGTCCAGGCAAGTTTCTCCATGGTTGTCATCCCACCAAGGTCATATCCAAATATGGCATTGCTGCTGGACTTGCCCTCGTCTCAGCTATCATTGGGTTGGGTCCAAGGTCGTGCCCCAATTCTTAGGCCTCAAAGCTGGATCAGCTACCTGCAAACCCTGGCACAGATTCCACTCCCAGGCCTCCTAATGCCTCTCTCTTTCTCTTTCCTGACCTTCCAACCTCACAAGGTCATAGCTTCCAACCTCTTGCACCTAAAAAGAAAGAACAAACACCAAGACAAAGAAGTATCTTGTATCACAGGTCACATAATGTCCTCAGACATGGAGGACCCAAGGACATACCCTTATAGTATTGTCTGTCACCTGAAAGCCACCAAACTGGAAGAAGTCAAACCATGAGAGAGACAAACCAAGATAAGTCAACTAGTGCCTTTTGAATGTACCCCCAGTTCTAGCCATAGCCATAGCCAAAGAAGTTTCCATTCACCAGGTGGTTAGTAGAGTGGAACCAGTTACAGAATATCTATCTGAAAGCTCCAAAGTTCACACGGGAATTGCATCAGACAATCACACTGCACATGCTCTTAAGGACTGGGCTTATTGGCCAGTTCCCCATTACATTCTTTATGTGCTCTTGGCTGCATGCTGACTTAGTGAAACAAGGCCAAATACTCATGTCACATTTCGACTCAGCTCTACACTGTCCAGACAACTCCAAGTACATCTTTACTGGTAAAAAAGGCCAGGTTTGGACTAACGCTCTTGTCAATGACCATCCTGTCTGATGCAGAAACTTCTCTTGTTTTCATCCATCTCTAATAAGTGGATAATAATATATCTTCACTTACTAGACTCGGGACCTCTGGACCCATTGAACTCACAAGGTCAACTCCAAGCCTAGACATATGGATCTTGTGATGGATATTTGCTCACCTACAGTCAGGAAAGAACAAATATAAAAGCAGAAAAGGCGGCCAGGGACACAGGCACATGTTTGTTTAGTCAAGTTCCTCCTGCCCTAGCTGTCATTTGGGCAAGGTCACCATGAAGCTAGGCAGAGAAGGACCAGCCCTTTCCCAGCTCCCCAGTAGAAACCGCAGAGCTACATGTTGGTGCATGGAGCATTGAAGGACGAGCCAGCCCAGTTGCTCTTTGCTTTTAACTAGCATAGCACTTCATTCTCCTACCACTGTAGGAAAGAACCAAAGGATCTTCAGGGTTTTCTTCATCACACCAAAACAATCTCTTTTCATTGCTGTGCCACCACATAGCCAGATGCAGCCTGGAAATTCGTCATCCCCGTCAGTGCTG